TGTGGGAATCCTGACAGAAGTCTTGCTGGAATCGATGAACCCGCCGTGGTGCCTGCCTGCCGTGCGGGAGGTGCCGGCTCCTGGCAGGCAGCCGGGGCTCCCTGGGTGGGGCACTGCAGGGCTCTCTGAGCTCTCGGTGGGGCTGCACACCCTCCCTCTGGCTGGGGGTGAGCAAGAGGCTGTTCTGAAATTCCTGCTTCAGAGTCTGTTAGCTGGGAAAAAAATTGGGTTGTTTGGGTTTTTTTTTCTTAATTCTGAGTTGCTCTCCAAATCACTTTTTTGGAGCGGGGTTTTTCTTTAAATTTGCCATATTTTGGGGGTAAAAAGGGGATGAGGCAGGAAGAAGTTTCAGAGGGAGTGCTTTGTAGGGTGGTATTTCTGCTTTACAGCAGGTGCTGATAGGGACTGAAGGAGGGGGCTGAAGGGCTACATGCACAGATGGTGATAGACCATGCTGTACCAGTCTGGGAAAATGATTAATCAATACCACAAGGATTTATTCTAGCACTAAGTTCTTTTAATTTAGCCTTATGTTTCTCTGCTCAGGAGTTCTGTAGGAGAATTTTCTAAATGTGATGCTGATTCAGGATCGTGGTGATTTTTGAAAGTAATCAAAACAATTCTCTGTTTTTTTGCTGGATCTTGTTGCAAATGGCAGTGAAGAGAACAAATGTTCTACCCATGTCTCTAATTGGAAGTTGCAGAAATATGGCTTGGATTTTAATGAAGGGGACTTGGGGAAGTAATACTGAGAAATAGCAAATAATGAGTGAGCAAGATGTTTAATGCACATTTTTCATAATCCTATTGCACTTACATTGCTGTAGGCAACCTTCATTCTGATACTTCCCAAGTTTTGAGGGTTTGCATTTCTGACTTTATTGATCTCTTAAAAGAAACCCTGTAACTTCATAGATCTTGATTTTTGGCAAAATGAAAAGGAAAAAAAATTGGAAATCGCCTGAAATGGCATTATTTACAGCAGTGTAATTCATTAACACCATTGGAACTTTTAGGTTCCTGATACAGATCTTTGCTTCATGAGTTACTGGAGGATGTTGTCATCATTTATGGAGTACTGGAGGAAGAAAATGTCTTCCAGTGAGCCCAAGACTCCTTATCTCTTGTTTGATGTTAGTCACCTTCCCTCTGCTTGGCTTTTCCTCCTTGTCTTGTTCCATTCCCTCACCTAGGTCAAGATTTTACTAACCTGGTTTCTTTTAATACTTACTGCCTTGGAGTTTTCTGCCTGAGCTAGAACCTCTTCCCAATCTGTGCTGTGTTCTAAGGCTTCTTTTAGGCACTTCTTTCCCTCTGATGCTCCTTATCCAAAACAAGCCACCTTTTCTCCTAATCACAGCATGAAAGTTTCCTGTTCAGGATGTGCTTCCAATATTTCTCCAACTGTTGGCAACCAGTTCTCTCCTACAAGGTAGTTCATCACATCATTGTTTCCTGTCCTCTGCCTCATTTAGCTCTTCAGACCGTCTTCCCTCTCTCCTGCGTGTTTGTTTCCCACCAACTTGCTGATAGCAATTCCCTCTCCCAGTAGACATGTACTTTCTCTGGTCAGTTTTTAAGTTTGTCCTGCCTCTCTCCTCCCATTTCTGCCTCATGCCGAACCACTGTCCTCATTCTCTTCATTTCCCTTTTTGTCCCCATTGTCTGTCTGTCACCTTCTCAGTATTTCACTTTCTTCTTCCACTGTGGATATCAGTGGTGAAATGACTGAGGTTACTGGAAAGGTAGACCTTAATTGTCTGTGGGGAGTCGACCTCAATCCAGCAGGAGCTATACTTTAGAGGAAAAATAGCCCTGAGCCAAAGAACACTTGCTTGCTCCATCAAAATGGCTCATGACTGGACCTAATATGTGTGGGAGGTTGGAGCACACTCTGAAATCCTCAGAGATTTTAGTCAGATTCTTAAAAATACTTACTCTGTATTTGTAAATATGTATATACGTTGTAGGCAAGGAGAACTTGTCACCCGACACTGAGGGCACAGACAGGTTCTTTCAGGGATCCTTGGCAGAATGATGATCATGGCACTAATCATAGGTACAATTAAATAATTATTTTCGTAACAAGATATTAACACAGAATTTATGATTAGAATGGCACGTGATTTTTACAAGCAGAATCAGTATTGTACGATTTATAAGTAGCATAATACAGAATTTATAATACAGAATTTATAATACAGAATTTATAATACAGAATTTATAATACAGAATTTATAATACAGAATTTATAATACAGAATTTATAATACAGAATTTATAATACAGAATTCATAATACAGAATTCATAATACAGAATTCATAATACAGAGATTTCATAATACAGAATTTATAATACAGAATTACAGAATTAATACAGAATTCATAATACAGAATTATAATACAGAAAATACAGAATACAGAATTCATAATACAGAATACAGAATTCATAATACAGAATTTATAATACAGAATACAGAATTATAATACAGAATTTATAATACAGAATTTATAATACAGAATTCATAATACAGAATACAGAATACAGAATTATAATACAGAATTTATAATACAGAATTTATAATACAGAATTTATAATACAGAATTTATAATACAGAATTTATAATACAGAATTTATAATACAGAATTTATAATACAGAATTTATAATACAGAATTTATAATACAACCTCACTTATTTCTGGACCCTTTGCAGATCAAGACAAATCTTAAATACATCATATCAGTATAACAATCATAATCTAGACTCACCATTCATATAAAAGAATAGGAGTCACTCCCTCAATCCTTGGAGGAAGGAGAGGACATCCCTGGGCACTGGTATGTCCAGACAGATCTCACTGTCCAGCAGCATCTCCAGTCCAAGTTGCCCCCTTAGGACTGGGGGCTGCTCGATTTATAGACAGTGTCCTGGGAGCTCTGAGACTCCCATGTTCTGTGGCCAGGTCGTTGCCACCGCCTGGTGGCCTTGGGTGCCTGGCACCTTGAGGGCTGGCAAGGGAGGGAGCAGCCAGCCTGGCACCCAGAAACCTTGAAGCCTGTAGGGAGGGGAAGAAGAAATCTCTTCATTTTGTCTCCTTGGTTGACAGGACCTTCAGGGATTGATAATGAGGGGAAAGAGAGCAAACACATGACTCGCTCAGTCACAGGGAATGGCCGCTTGCCTCATGAAATGGTGCTGGTTATACTGACCATGTTTCCAGAGGTTGGGAGCAGGGAGTACCGGTCACAGAACGACCCTATGAACAGTTGATTTTGGTGTGACCAATTATTTTGGAAGAGACTTAAGCAGCAGAGGGCTGAGTTTTGCAATGGAATGTTGTTGACCGTATTAATGATAATAGGGGCTCCCGGGCTCCTTTTTAATATCAGTGATAGGTGTTAGTAACGACTAAGGACATTTTATGCTGCAGGAATGACCTACAAGTGACTGAAAGCCGTGGTGCTAACTTCTGGGATTCTTAATCTTTAGATTAATAAAAAGATGCATTAAACAGGAATGCAGTGTGTAAACCAAAGTCACTTAAGGCTGAGTATCGAGTTTGTAAAGCAGTGTGCTATAGGATGTTTTTTTCAAGGAATTAAGAGAAATTGTATTTTTTAAATGTTTGTGTTGACCAGATGAAATGCACAAATATCCTGTAAGAAGCACTTTCATGTTAATGGGAGGAAGATGGCGAAGCAAAATATTGCTTTATTTTGTCTCTTCTGAAAGAGCATATGTTTGAGTTCTAGAGATGCAATATATAGCGTAACCTCAAGTGGTGTTCACAAAGGTACTTTCCACTGTCATCCTTAAGTAGGACATAGAGCCCCTAAATACCCATGGAAAGTTAAGTGCAAGGAGCGAAAACTAGGCTCTGATCCAAAGCCAGTTGAAGCTGATTAAAGGACTGCATTTGTCTGCCGAGGGCTCTGGCTTAAGCCACTAGCAAGCTAGAATTGAGTTTCAGATGTTCAGATAGGCTTCTTGTGTTTGTTGAGTTTGTGAGTTTTCCTTCTGATCTGTTTTTGAAGTTCTGTTCATGATTATAGGAGATGTCCCAGTATGTACAGCACCTGAAGTCTTACATATTTTCACTGTTGAGTTCTAGAAATAGTAAATAGATAATATTCAACACCTTAACTACACTTAACCACAGAATAGGGGGTTTTTTTATGGCTTGACACTGTATAGGTATATACCCAGATTGTATACAATTGTATGCCTACACCACAGGTATACCTAGAGATGATGTACTAACTCATATAAGATATGCCTACAGCTAGAATAGAGGCAAGGAAAATATCTTTACATAGTTTGCAGTTCTTTGTTTGGCTACTTTTAGTGTGCTACTCCATTCTTCCCATCCTGTTAGATATCTAAACTTTTCAAAGAGTGAAACAGAAGAGAGGAATATGTTTTTCATATAAGAAGTATTGTAGAGTTGCAAATATAAGTTAAAGTGAGAGGTAATGGTCTGCCTGACTCGGATGACTGTTTTGTTTTACTTGTTTGCATGCTTATCTTCTGTTTTAGAAATAGAAAATAAAATATTTACATTTTATAGTAATGTTTTTTTGAGTGCAGTCCAAGTTAGTTCCTTCACTTAATTTCACTTGGCATGTTTCCCCACTGAAGTTCAGGCCAGGCTGTAAAATTATAGCTGTATGTAGTTACTAGCTGTGTGTGTGCTGGGTCTCCAGTTTCTTCCAGTTGAGAAAAGTTGGAAAGTCACTTCTAGAGTTGAATGAAGATCTCATTCCAAATGTTAGTAGAAGTGTAGAGCTTGTTCTCTCTTCTATCTGAGCTCTATTTCACGTATACTATTCACCAAACAAAAGTTTTCCCTGCTACAAAAAAGGTTTTGAAAACCTCTGACCTACCATTCTGTAAGGTATCATGAGTGGGTTTTAGCACTTGAGGGTCAAAACGTTTGCATCAGTTTAGGGAGATAAATTGGAAATTGTTTTAATTCATTTCTTTCCTATTTGACCTCTAGGTTCCAGCAAGATGTGGAGTGACAGTCCGAGACAGCCTAAAGAAAGCACTGATGATGAGAGGTCTTATTCCAGAATGCTGTGCTGTTTACAGAATACAAGATGGGTATGGTTTGTGTGGGATGGCCTTTTGTTCTTAGAATCTTACTGGAGCTACCCAGTATGGTCAGTTCTATCCAGCATTGTGGAAGTTTGGGTTTTCAAAGTTGAGAATTATATGATACTTTTCACTAGAACAATTTGTACCTCAAAGACATGTTGAAAAGAATGGCAAACTCCTAGAAAAAGGCTCAGGCGTGATACTGAGTAAATATGGGCTTATAGACTGCTGGCAAAACAGTCGTTAATCAAACTCATGTTAGCCAAACAAGTATTAAATAGGTTGTGTTAACTTCTTGGTTTTATTTCACGTGGTTATGATGCATTCTTAACTAAAAACAAGAATTCCCTTGGGGGAAAAAAAAGAGTTTTCAGCCCTAAAAAGTTTGTAGATTATTTTACTGCACACAACCAGCCATCTCTGTGCAACTCTTACGCAACAGGTACTTTCACAAACACTTTATTTGATCAGAAAGGCATCTGTCACCTTGGAGCCAAGGAATTGGCTACTACTGAAGCTGACTGGAAAAAAGTGCATTTCCTTCATGCAATTTGTCCAGGGAGGGTGTGCTTTATTTGCTGTGTGCTGAGCTTCATGTCTTGCCTTTAAAGTTTCCGGCATTTGGAGCCTGAGTAGCAAACCCCCACAGTGCAACATTTTAGCTGGTCTCACAACTTCGGCAAGAGACGTGCAAGGGCTTGTGCTCCGATGCTAATGAGAGGCTTATTTGCACTTTAGAGAGAAGAAGCCAATTGGCTGGGACACAGACATTTCCTGGCTCACGGGAGAGGAGCTGCATGTGGAAGTCTTGGAGAATGTGCCACTCACGACACACAATTTCGTATGTTCGTTTTGTGAGATATTGAGTAGGGTTACATTAACTTTGTACTTTCAAATTCAGATCAGCAACTTGGAATATTTTCTATCTGTGGCATGTGGTGGGAGTTGCAAAAAAGGTTTTTAATCACAGTAGCTTAAGTGAATTAGATACAATTGTATTTGAAGTAAGTGATGTTAGAGTACTTGATCACCCTTAATACTCTTAAGGTTTGGATGGAATACACCCTCTAAAATCTATAAATGTAGGGGGTTTAAGTCAGCACTGCATTGCAGAGCTGTAATAACAATCTACTATTTTAGTATTGCTGTATCTATAAAATGTATTCTGGGCCTCCCTGCTGGCTCTGCAGCAGCAATTAACTAATGAACTAACTATTCCCAGAGCAGTGCTGACATCATCAATGATGCTAGAGCACAAATATGTTTTGACCTGATAAGGCACCAAGTAAATGGAAGCTGCTAAACAAAATCCATCTAAATGGTACCAGCTACATACAAAATCCTGGAAATAATGTTTGTCACATTGGGAAGAAAGACCTTCTATTTCAATTTTAAAAATACCAAAATTTTATCTGCAAGCTGCTTAAAATATTTTACTCGATCTAGTTTGGCTATGGCTAGTTAGACGAAATGTAGTAGGCTTAACATTTTTTTAGTATCCTTCTGAAATTTTGATCATTACAGGTAGTAATAGAAGTAGAATGTGTTTTTATGCCAAGTATTGCTAAAATAGAAAATTAACTAAATCATTTCTCCCCCCTGTAATTTGGGGATCATACATGATCACCCTTTTGTGATTCTAAATGTTTGAGTTTCAGTAATCAAAATTACAACTATATGTGTAACCATACATTGAAGCCTTATATATAAGCCATATGTGTATTTCCAGTCCTGTGAGTGAGTGTTGGATAGAAATGTTATTTGGCCCCTGGAAAAATTAGAAGATAATATTTCAGCAGCTTTTGGTTTTATAGGTTGTATCCAATTAAATTCTGAATGTTTGTCCCTAGCACGATAATAGTGACGTTTTGCTTCAGATTTGCCACTGTCTTTCTTATCGCTAATGAAGTGAAGCATTAATTCCAATAAACACTCGAAAGAAAATTTTAATGCATGAATACTGTTTCAGAAAAGAGACAATTTTTTATGCAAATCTGTCTGATACATAAAACTGTAGGGGGGAGACAAAAGCAGATAGCCTGTCTCAGGTTTGCAGAAGGACTCTGTGTAATTGTGACTGTCTTACAACGTAGGTACGAAAAACATTCTTCACGTTAGCGTTCTGCGACTTTTGTCGAAAGCTGCTTTTCCAGGGGTTCCGGTGCCAGACGTGTGGCTACAAATTTCACCAGCGCTGTAGTACAGAAGTGCCACTGATGTGTGTTAATTATGACCAACTTGAGTAAGTAATCACAATTGGTTTTCAAGTTGAGCCTTCTAATAAGTGTACAGCTGTCAGTGGTTTCTTACATTAAATCTGGAATTGAGGAAGTCAGAGAAAGTGTCTGAAAAAAAAATATAGGGGTTCCACTGTTCTTGTGAAATTGCTTAATTCATATTCTTTCTGTGCTAGCTCAGGCAACCAGTTCATATTTCTTTGCTGGACTATGAAATGCTTTCTTTGAAGCATGAGTAGGGTTGCTGAGCACTTGACTGTATCAGACAGACTTCTCATTGTTCACAGTTGTTATTATTAATCAAAACTGGTTCTTTATTATGTGATGGCTAGGGCCTCTGTTTAAATTTTTAGCTCTGTGTTTATTCTCTTCAACCAGTTGAATATAGTGAAATTGCAGTTGCTTTTACAGAGATTGAAAACTAATCTGTTAGCAAGATAAATGCCTAGAAACATAAAAGAAAATGTCCTAAACAGTCGTGTTCTTGAATCGAGTTACTGATCTATTTGTGTAAGTCTTTGATATAGGCTAAGGATCTGGTGTAAAATGGCTCTGTGTTCTATTTCATCAGTTTTAGAAGAGGCTATTAAGTCTTCTAAATAGATTTTCATATAATGAATAGTTTAAAATGCTGGGTTTCCCCCCAAGAATTAATTTAGTTTCATCTTATGTTTGTAACTGTTTACATAGACATCTCTAGAGTTTGTGCTCAGGGTTTATGGATTACGTAGTTGTATCCATTTGACGTTTGGGTTTTGGCATTACATCAGTGCAAATGTTAAAATAAGTTTATGTACTCAATATAGGTATAGGTTGTGCATTCTTGAGGAACCAGATGTTTGCAATCCAACTAAAAGATTAAAAAGTTACTTTCCACAAAGGTTATGTTTAAGGCATGATCTTCTGATCCTCTCTGAAGTAAATAATATTTTTAACAAATCTTGCAGATTTACTGTGTAAATGTAATCTTTATTTTAAAATTTAGACTCTGATCAGTGAGCTTTTGGGGGTGTCTTGTAGTCTTTGAGTGTTATATTGTGAAGCTTCTGGGTTTTGCACAAGTTAGGTTGTTTTTGTTTTGTTCTTGCCTCACAGTTTGCTGTTTGTCTCCAAGTTCTTTGAACATCACCCCATACCACCGGAGGAGGCCTCCTTAGGAGAGACCACCCCAGCATCTGGATCGTACCCCTCAGTGCCCCCCTCAGATTCTGTTGGGTATGACCTTATTCCTGCTGTTTAATAACATAACGTTTCAGTACTGTGCTTAGAAACACTCAAAATACTGCTTTGCAACTCTTATATTTTTGTAATCTGGCTTGTCATACAAATATATCCACCTATGCTTAACTTAAAAGAAGTGAATGTTTTCATTCACAGGAATTATATAAATTAGTAATGAACCAAAGTTAAATATGTATGTAACTGTTTGTAGAATTGAGGCCTTTCCTGTTAAACTGATTTCTTCTACATGATGGCTTAGACCTGGTCTAAACTGGAAAGATTTTATACTTAAGATTATTTAATTAATTGGTTATCAAACTACAGTTTATTTGCCTTGAAGTGACATACCTCAGTTTCAGAGTAAACCACACCACTGTAAGGTTGGTGTGAACAGGGGCCAAGTCCAGGTCCATAATACTGCTTTAGTAGCTTTTCCACATACACATTGCTTTAGTATCCTCCAGACCAGCTGTCTTCCTCCTGTTCATGTTGGGATGTACCAATAGCATCTGTTTGCTGCAGCTCCAGGTTTTGCAGAATTAGACCTCTAAAACTGACCATCCCCCCTGTATTTCCAACAAAGATTCTGGACCCTTTTTCCTTGAAGAGATAAGTGACCATATTTAGATGATGTTCCCAGTAGTGAGGAGATCAATGACACCATCCAGCACTAGGGAGTTGAACAAATCTCCAGGGAAGAGTAACTCAGGGATGTGTATCACAGTCAAGAAACCTGATGCAGCTTTATTAAGAACACCAAATACAAAAGCCTTCAGAAAACTATCCCCAGGACATGTGTGCTGCGTGGAATTGGGCTGCAATTGGCAGAGAGGCTCCTCTGGATTAGTGACCATTGTGCCCAGACTAAAGCAGAAACAAACTGGAAGCTACACAGGCGCTTACGGACTCTTAACTAGAAGATAAATTCTCTGGACAGCCAAGACTATTTTATGGAAGATCAAATATGGTGCCTCCCAGGACAATAGATTGATAGTCCTGCAGAGGGAACCTCATTTGGTAAGTACAGAGATTATCTTCTTATTTGTACTATATTGTATGTGTAGATTCAAGTGAATTCAAAAGTGCTTCTTCCAGGTAGTAGATGTTGCCTTTATATCCCGTGGATGTTAGTACAGCACATTGTGGACAAGGCTGTTATGGTTCTCTTAAGTGCAGCAGGCTCTGCCTTTCTCATGGTACAGCCGAAATTATAACCAGGCTAGAACTATTAATCCATGAAAAAACTTGTTCATACCAACTGTTTTAAACAGCAGCAGATGCCAAAGGCACTTATAATATAGCCCTAATCCTAATACTCTAAATTTTTCTGCTTTTTAATTATCTTTGCCTCACATTAGTCCATTCTTACCAGTTTATGAAGATACAACAGTATGGATTATCTTAATTGATAAGACTTCAATCAGTCTCAGTTTTGTGAAGTGAAAATGGAAAGGAAAAGCTGAAACCAAAGCTGGTTAATGCCTTAAGGTTTTTAACTTGACATCTATAAAAATGCTAACTTTTAAATATACTTGCCAGTTGGTTTTAAGGCGCTTTTCCCAAATGTTGCATCTGTAAATGTTTGTAATTGCAGAAGCTGTAAAAGGTGTCTGGCTTCCTCCTTTTTGCTTTCTTGCTTTGCCATACACTTCATTGTTAAACAAGACAAAAAAAAAGCATACATCATGTCTGCAAAATTATGTTCATTTTGAAAATGGTTTATGATTATCAGCTGGTGTTTGTAAGTAATATGCATGTTAGTCAGGAGATTTTCTCCAAGCATCTGTGTGTGCAGTATTTCCTTTCCAGAACTAGCTCAGATGTTATTATATGAGCATATGGCAGTGTCCATACCTTTTTCCAGGTATCTTTTTGCCTTTCTTTAGTAATACTTCTCTGCTTTTTAAAAACATAATTGTGGAAAGACTAATTTGTCTGAATTTAAGAAGCTGGCCTTTTCCATAAAAACATGTGCTTACCTGTGGTTTTGTTAAAGGGTATTGCTGCAATATGGGACAACAGCTCAAGTGGAACAAAAAAGAAGGGCTGCCATTTGAGATTATCTTGTCTGGGAGGAGAATAAGGGATTGAAATCTGAGAGTTGGGCAATGGGATGTAAAATATGAGGAACTAGCGCTTTAATAACACTTACTAGATTAATAATTGTTCCTTTGATTTCTCTGTTCTCCTAGCATCTTGCATGGCTCAGCCCACAGAGGAAGGGATGTTACTAATCGTTTGGTAAACCTGAGGAAAGAGAAGGCAAACATCCTTCTTCATCTCTAGCCTTGTGAAGGGATTCCAGCGGCAGGCAGAGTGCCCAAAGAAAGGAAGTTTGTGTTGCAAGACAAGCTCGAGAGCAAAGGCGTGTGTGACATGCTGAGACATTGTCAAGGGATCAAATGGAAAAGTTTGAAAGAGAAAGGGACATAAAGGAAAAGACCATTGGACATGATGCAAAAGCTGCTAAACATGCGGGAGAACTGTTTCACTTTGGTCATGTGTAACATCCTAAAGCAATCCAGTCCTGTAGCCTTTCATTCTTCCAACTGAAAGCGTTAGGCAGTCCCTCCAGGTGTTCCACCCAAAGATGAGGGAGCACATATGGTCCCACTTGCACATCTCTGAACATTGTGTATCCAGCCTCCACATTAGGTCTTGTGTCCCATTTTAGTTCTTTCCGTTTGCACTCTCCTCTTGTGCTAAAGCAGCCATTTTAGTTATAATCTGCACTTAACTGGAAAGAAATACAAGAAGTGTAGGTCTCCCTAATAAGAGCCATTTGTAATAAAATTGAAGTAAGCAAACTGTATATGATACATTGTATTTGTTTTGTTCATTGCACTGTCATAAAGTTTCTTCTGTATCTTTGCTCGTAAAATACAAGCACAGAATTTCTTTGAACCCAGTTCCCTCCATCTCAAATACCTGCATAAGGGAGAGATTAGCCATTCAGAATATTCCAAACTTGTCTTTTTCAACTCTGATCTGTTCTCTTAGATGTTGTGATGTTGGACAAAGCTCAGCACACACATGAGGCAGGTGTTATGGCAGGGTAAGTAACCTGTGGAGTGGGTGTAAGAGGGCATGTGGTCAGACCTGGAATAGCACAGGGGCAGGTTGCACTTGGTAAAAGCCAAAAACGTCTGCGTTGCTCCAGGCAGAACACTGCTGGTAGGCAAGTTGGCAACATCTTGGCTCTTTGAAAAACAACATTTCCCAATATGCTTCATCTTCTAAGTTGGAGGAAGAAAGAGGGAATGTCTGGTGCACCGTTCTTGGAAGCTTGCCAGTCCCTGCCTTTGAGCAGGCTCCAGCCTGTGATTAAACACCTCTGCTTTCCTTTCTGTCTTCCAAATGTTCACTGATCATTCTGCCCTAGCCAAAGATATTTAAATGTCTAGAAAAGCTTCTGAAAAGCCAAGGAAGCAAAGACACAGTCTTACAATATTGTATTTAGTACTACAATGGCATTTAGATCCCATGGTGTTTAAGTGAGCAAAAGCTTTGTGTTTTATTTCATAAAACAAATTTTCCCCTAAAAATGCTGGCAGAATCTTTTCCAGGCCTTTCCATGTAAATGTTCCCAAAGTTCCTACAAAATACAACTTGATACGCATTCTTGCCAAGCAGAAAAGGACTGGTACCAGAATCTTCAGAAAAATTGCTTCTAGCCTGTACAACAGGAGGGGAAAACCTCTTACTCTCCAGAACTTTATTAGAAAAACACGCTAGTGAGCTGAAACCTGGTTTGGAGGACTAATGACAGCAGTGTGATTCTCTTGATAGCCCCTGGTGTATGAAGCTTTTGGAAATGTTAGGCTTGTCAGCTCTGATCTGGGCCCAAGGGCCAGTATAAATAAATGCACACCGTTGTGATAATCCTGGCAGTTCTTTTTCACCTGCAAGCCAACACGCATGAAAACAAGTTATCATGGTATAGAAAACTGCACTGATTTTTAAGAGGTAATGACTGTTACAGAACTGTCTCGTGTTACTTCTAGACTGACTTCAAAGGATGCTGCAAGAGTGATCTTCACCTTGTAGTTACAAATGGATACTGCTGTCCTTTTCTCCAAATCACCATTTCATTTGAGGTTATTGAATATTTCCAGGCTGCAGAGTTGGGGAAAAAAAAAAAAATGTTTTCTGGCAATATCTGTGGAGTACTATGATAATTAAATCACTAGCTGAAATATCATTGTATCACAGATTCTTAGCAGTCCTTAGAACCTTCTTGAAAATGGAAGTGCACTGCACTTCATGAACAGCAGTAACAAAAAACAAATCCGGTCATACTCTGGTGTAAGCAAAATTAATCAAAAAAAGTGCCTTAAAACACGTTTTAGATTTGGCCTAGGTATGACTGTGCAACCTACAGGTGAATAGTGCATACAACACTGAGCCCTGTGGCTGAACTGAGATGTACTTGTTCAGGCTAGAAGGGGAATAGGGAAAATCTCAGTCGATTCAAAAAGGAACTGACACACACCTCATAATTGGAACTAGGTGACTGAATTTTCAGTTTAAGCCTTTGCCCAACTGCAGCAAAATAAAAGTACGGGAAAAAAAAATTGAAGCCCAAACAAACATATTTTGAAAAAAATCTTTCCTGAGTAGACCAGCTCCTAAACATTTATGAAACATCACATTGATGAGTTAAAGGAGAGTGCAGAAAATCTGTATAAAAATCTTCTTTTGTATTTGTAAAGTGAACTAACTTATATCATTACAATTTCTAAATCTGGTGGAGGTACTGTATATGATTTTATAAAATTGCTTGTTCATATATAATGTACCATGTGTGGACACTTCTCTGAGTTACCTTACTCATTCCTGTGGATCCAGTTTTGTGGAATAGTAGATCTGTGGACACAATGGCATTTGCTGTGCTTGCTAAAGGGTATAAAAATTTTACATCTTATATTCAGTTATTCTTGTCTCCTGACAAAACCTCTTTCTGCTTTGTCTTGATAAAAAGGGAGGGAACAATATACTTACCCCAGATACATGGTCCAAGGTAGAAGTTTGGTCATATTGTCAGGAAAGGTTATAACATTAAATTGAGATTTGGCAATTATCACCCTGTTGTCTCAGAAGCTGAGAATCATTGTTGAAGGAATGCCCACGTCTAAGAGTCTGGGAGAAAGTGGTCAAGATGAGGTAGTATAACCACTCCAATATTGATCTTATTTGTAGAAGGTCTCCTTTAGCAGGGTGGCTGTAAACAGCTCACAGAGTCCACAGGAGCAACAGAAACTCAGATCCTGGTATTCAGCTTGAGGCTACTTTAAGCCTCAGCCTGCTGTACGTTTATGTCACAGTAAACAGTTCTTTGTAGGAGTTATTCTGGTCCTCTTTGATTTTTTTTATTTTATTTTTTTTGACTAATGTGTTTTCATAGCCTACAGAACAAGTTTTGGGACTGACCTGGAATAGACAATGTCACCCTTTCCCAAATGATGATGTCTTGTCCTTGTAGCTCCAGTGTCCCTTCTGCTCTTCTAGAGCAATTAAAATGTAGGAATACTGTACAAACAGGCTTTTGGTAGCTCAGAGGGTTGCTGCATTCTTTGGAGTGATGTGCTTTGACAGATCAAGATCTCAATGCAGATCAAGATATAGCTTTTGCCACACAGAGGCAGAAGCTGATGGTAATATCCTCTGAACCTGTGATCTCAGTAGGCCATCTTGGCCAGCAAACCACTTGTGTCTTTCTCTTCATTAGTTCCCTTTTTCAAGCAAAGTTCCCATTTAGCAAAAATAACCTACCTTTTTATAAGTGTCCCAAGGACACCCAATAATAAAATTCTGACGGAGCACATGGCTAAGTGCTTATGAGGTTCCCATCTCTGGATTCTTGGTGTCAGAAGCCCAGAGACCCTCACAATAATAGTTCAGAGACTCAAAAAAAAAAAAAAAAAAAAAGGGAATTCTTTATCAGCCTGTGATTATTTACTAAAGATCTAGACTTCCCCCAGTTAGAATTTAATGACTGGAAAAAGCTATTAAAATTGTTTTCAAATATGTGTGATAGCACGCTATCTGTGCTAGCAACATGATGGACGTGGTGACCTGTGCCCAGAAATACAGAAGCAGCAGATGACCATTTATGACTCAAAGGAGGATGTAATTGAAACAATACTTTTTCAATCTGGTTTTCTCTCTGTTATCTTACTGATGATCACAGAAATCTGGTTGCTTCTGTCCTCGTCATGTGGCAGAGCTCAGATAGTGTCTCACGCTCATTCCTACTGCAGTGATCTGAGGGATGTTCTTACACATCTCCCTTAATTTCCTTATTACCAGAGAACTCTCAGGAAGTTTAGCAGGAATTAGCTATCCAAACAATGCCAGTACCGACCTGGCTGAGACACTTTTTACACTTCTTGTATTTTTTTGTGCAACATCTGACACATTTGCCTTAACATGAAAATAAAGTACCTTAAAATGTCAACCAAGTGCATTCCCAGTATTTATATTCTGTCATGTGACAATAAGTAACTGTTTTTTTAAAAATTAGCGTGGCTAAACCCCCTGCCTCTTCTTCCCTGCCACACTTCCCAAACATATGTATTTTACTACAAGACTTACTAGACTGTTGCTTGCATTAATTCACAAGAGCTTTGTTTTGCCAATCTCAATTTTGTGAGATTGTCGGCCAGGAAGGAAAAGATGACAAGTCCTTAGGATACAGATAGCACTGAGTTCTGGGACCAGTGCCAAACTACATAAACTCTTCAGTGAAAGGTAGGATAGTAGTGTTTAAAGCAGACCTGAAAAAAATGCCAAGAGATCCTGGTGAAAATGTTAGTTGCCTCTAAATACCTTTGGAGAGGCCAAGGAGTGTTTACTTATAGGAGGTGGCTCCAGGACCTATTGCTGCTATATGCTGCTCTATGTTTTATTTCTGAAGCTTCTCCCTGTGGGCACTGCTTTTGTGGGCATAGTAATTAATCCCTGAGTCATTGAATGGGTGGAGGACTCCACTCCTCTCTTAGAATTTGGCAAGAAAAACCCTTGCTCCTAAAACCCTTGTTGTCAGATACCATATATACTTTAACATAAAATTTTCTTTGACAAAGCTGTCAAGTGTTTTCATTGACCTTTTGCCTTATATCCATTAGATTGAATCATTAGACTTAACAGGGACTGACCTTGACTAGAGTAAGAGATAATTGCCAATTTATTGTACTTCAACAAAATTAACGGATAACCAAAGAAGTGACTTTCTGCCTTTTTACAAACAAAAAACCAAGAGATGTTTTGTCTTTTAGATATTCAATTCATTATACAATAAATTGAAGACTTAATCTACATTTATGACTGCCAGTGTTTAAATTTCTTCAAGAATCTTGTCTGTGTAGTCTAAATGTTTATCATTCAAGTCAAACCTATTGCATTGCCTAACTGTAGCACTGTAAATAACATTTGAAATGTTGCACTATTCAAAGTTATTACTTACAGATTGAGATTAAAAGGTGATATGTTGATTTTTATTACATCAACATTGGCCATGTTATTTTTAGTATCAATTATAGTTGGCCATATTATTAATCAGTTAGGTTCAATGACCATATGTAATTTCCACTCTATATTTGCTGATCAATAATCCTGTCCATACAATTTGTTTTGTGACATTTTCTAACTGTGAAATTGATGTGAGATGTTAAGCATTTTTAGTTCTTGATGGGTTACCATTTTAAAGAGTGTACTGCATTGACTCAGAGGAAACTGCAGAGTATCTTTCTATCTGCAGTGCATGTTGGGCTACATGAATTTTTCAGATCAGGATTTATTGTTACTAGTTTGGTATGGCATGGTAGAGTTTTTTGTTTTGTTTTAACTCAGAACTCTTCACAGCCATGTAATTAGGTAGTTTATGCAGCAGAGAGTTGTTGCAATTGATCATAGGAGAGATCGTTCATTATAAAATGTTTTTATTCAGGCCTTTAGATCAGTTTTTTTATGTATGTATTATTATAGTTGAAAAGGACTTACCACACCCACTATGCAGTGTTTGAAGCCATTTGTAGACCTAAATCCTCTTTTTCCTTGACTTTGTTTCTCAGACCACCAATTCTCCCTAGTCCTTCTCCTTCAAAATCCATTCCAATCCCACAGCCCCTCCGACCAGCAGATGAAGACCATCGGAATCAGTTTGGGCAACGCGACCGATCCTCTTCAGCTCCCAATGTCCACATCAATACAATTGAGCCAGTCAATATTGATGTAAGTATTAATAACAGTTAGATCAAGAATAGTAGATTCGATGTGTTCATTTTGAATATCAGTGCATTAGGTTTATCGTGTGCACGCAAGTGCTGTGTTTCTAAGCTAATCCTCAGTGGTCTATCAGAGTCTTCAAGGACCATTCATTTTTCATTTTTTCATAGATTCATTTTTGCTGTTGAGAGCTGTAAGAACACAAATAACCCATTCTCCAAAAGGAGAACTGCCTCTTGACAGTCCTGTCCTTTTCATTTTCAAATAAACATTTTGCCCCAAACCACTGCTTTTTTTTTGTGTTATTAGTCCCAAGGCTCTTGCTGCTAGCTTTAGCCAGTAACCACTCTTGCAAGCCATTCTGTGTGTTAAACATATTTTTATGCAAGATAGAGGTTTTTAGTACTTGTATTCCAAGTAACATTTTTGGCATTGGAGAAAATTGAATTATTAAGTTAAGCTGAGTTCAGATATACCAATAGTACCTTAGGATTTCAAGAGCCCAGTATATGTTCTGAGCATTCTTTTAGAGTGTTCAGAAACAGCTACACTTAACTCATTTTCCACGTTTTTGAAATCTCTGAATGGTGAAATGTAACTAATAATAGTGGCTGATATTAGTGTAAGGACAGTTAAAACCTTTCAAAATGTTGATCACGACAACCACTTTCTAATTTTGCTAAAATACACAGCTTGTATTTTACCCTTAAGTCTGCTCTCTAGAAATTATTCATTTGTCAGATGAATAGTCTTGAAGTCTGCCTGGACACTGAGGCACAAAATCTGTTTTGCATGTGAGCTGATGGAAAGGTGAAGTGTTAGTTTTAAGAGTGTGGCTGTGTAGACATTTACATATGATATGTGGCACTGGTGCAGCTGAGGCATAGCCAGTGCCTTCAGCAGCAGCGTAGGTGTATGAGGGAACAAATATAATTGTGTAACAAAAAAGGGAACAAAGATAATTGTGTAACAAAAAAAAAAAAAGCTTCGTGATGAAAACGGTTGGAATACAGATGGAAACTGTTAGAATTTTCTGCTTTTCTTCTGTTTAGAAAATCCTTAGCATAGTTTGCTTTTAGTTGCAAAAGATACTCTCAGTTCACAGTGTATTGCAAGCAAAGGAAACCTTTTGCAGTTAGTCATTTCTGAGAAGAACAGAGTGCGCCTGGCTATGCAAATCAGGTCTGTTGTTTTAAGAAAAAGTGAAGCAGGACTCATCTGACTGATGTACCTCAGTACAGGAAATTGATGTCCCAGCTTCTAATGTGGCACTTCAAATCATTTGTGCCACAAACAGTGTAACTAGAACATTTAGTTCAATATTTCTTCACACATTTTGGCCACCTCTATTTTTAAATCAATATTTTCATGTCAGCATTTGGGTAGTGTACATTTCACTTTACTACCGAGAGATGCTGTTTTAGAGCAACTGATTTTGAGAAGTTTAGTAGTTGTTTTAAGTAGTTCTTTGGAGTCACTGCTATTATTAAATCAGAATAGGAAACCACTTTTATTTCATGGACAGCACATGACATTATGGATTCTCAAATTGATCAATATCAATTGATTCCAGAATCTAAATGTTAATACCTAAATTAAATACAGATTTTTTTTTAATTTGTTTTAGGAATTGATTAGAGACCAGGGTTTACGAGGAGAGGGAGGTAAGTAGCATTTAAACTAACTACTGTGTTACACTTAATTACACAACCACTCTGTCCTTTCCCGTTACCCTACTTCCTTCTACAAAACACAGGCACAAAGGAAAATATGACTAGAACAAAAAGTGAATTTACATTTGCTTGTCCATGAACTTAGTATTTGTCTCACGAAGATTTGAGTCATTTGCTGGTCATTCTGGGAGCGGGGGAGATGGAAGGAGAAAAAGTTTTGAAGTAGTACCTAGTTTTTTTAGTTTTAAAATTAATTTGCACTCTCACTTCTTTGTTCTCTCTCTCTCTCTCTCTCACACACACACACATTCACTCACATGGCTGCACACAGATACACTATAACTTCCCAAGTCTCTCTCAGAGATTTTTACACCTGTTGTTATATTTTCACCCATGGAAACGGTGGGGGTTTTTATTATTGAAAACCATCGACATGGTAGACGGGCCATCCATGTGAACTGCTGCATCCTAAAGCAGTGTGAAATACTCCAGTTCTTCTCCCCCTCTGCCCTGCTGAAGTTGCTGCTTTGCTGTACTGCATGCCTGTGCTACTCTTGGAAGCAGGTTGTTAGGACCTTTCACTAAAGCCAGAGTTTTTTGTGTTTCCTTCAGTAATGCACAGCCCTAATTCACAGTTAAGTCAGAACTAGTACCAGAAAGTTTATTTTTCTTCACATGTTGAGCACAGGCCTGTTAAGTCACTTCTCCCACTGGCTTCTGAAGTCCGGGTAGGGCTTCTTATGTGCTGTATTATATTCCTATGAATATAATAATAAAATAGAACTATTGGAAATAAAGAAGTAGTAAGTAGGGCAGGCATATGACAGTTTTTCCAACTCTAAATCAGTAACACTGTTGTCTCCTACTAATTATAACTTGCTTCAACCATAAGTTAGGTCTGAATTACCTTAGTGCACTCTTTCCTGATCTCTAAGATTTTGTTCTGTGGGCTGTCACTGACTTTCTTTGTCCCGTGCAAATCTGGTATTTGGTAGAATACTACCTGCCTACTGCATTGTGTTTGATGGAGCTGTCTTTAATTATGCCAGCAATAGAACACTTTTGAAAAAGAAATTTCCTTTAAACCTGCAAGCTTACTAATTGAAAGTTACCAGTTTTAGGTATTTTTATATGTGTTGATAGGTGTGGCTTTCCACAGTTTTGCCCATTTTGTCCAGCATTTAAATGTTGTGCAATCATGTTGGTTTTAACTTTTGATCATAAACTGTCTGTTTGGCATCTGAAAACAATTGGCTGTTCCCGGTCCTGAAACAGTGTTATTAGTAATTGACTTTTTTTTTTTCCTTCAAAGTTCAGAAGCAATCTATGAATAGGAGTCAAAGCATCCTAGTTATTTCCCATGACTTCTTTCATTTCTTCTATGTGTCTGTCTTTCTGTCTCTGCCTGCCCGTCTCTTTCTCTCTAACAGCCCCTTTGAACCAGCTGATGCGCTGTCTTCGGAAATACCAATCCCGGACTCCCAGTCCCCTCCTTCATTCTGTCCCCAGTGAAATAGTGTTTGATTTTGAGCCTGGCCCAGTGTTCAGAGGTAGTTGGGCTCTTCTTTCTTGTTTTCACCCAAACAAAATAAGTAAAACCACAGATGCTGTTTGTGCCTCACCCTCACACCGTGTGTATGTAAGTGTGTGAGTTTATCAAAACACCTCTGTTTTTTGCTTGGCCTGGCTGGAATGCTTTGAATGTGCTTTTCACACATACTCACTTTCACCGTTACACGCTTGAAAATGACTATAAATAAAGTCTGACTTAAATCTTCAAAAGCAAGGAATTTCATAGTTGAGGTTTTTCTGTGGACCTCAGCATAATTTTTTTAACCAAAGGTCCTTGGATTGCACTGCAGTGATTTTAAAGATAAAATTATGTCCTTAACTTAGAATTTCCTTGGCTGTTCAGTTTAAGTCAGTTCAGTGCTATAACAGTTTTCTATATTTGATATTCTTTGTTTTGAGAACTAATCTAGGAAATTAAATGTGAATTACAAACATTTCCATTGATATCTTGTTAGGTCGCAAGGTTTTCAAGTAACGTGTTATGTCAACTTTTGACAAATACTTCATTTTGAGAGTGTGCTGTTGACATCACATTGGGGTCCTAGATGGTTTAGAACATGTAGTTTTTATTTAGTTAGCAGATTTCCACTGAAACAGCATTTGTGTCCTGTACTATGTAAAAAACACAGATTTTCATATCATTGACCCTGGGGGTTATTCAGGCCTTAAGCTGTCAATGGATCTGTTGTATTGCACAAAATCCCGAAAAAACTCTGTGGGATTTTATATGCTGGAGAAACCAACTACTGAGTAACAGCATGAAATGTAAATTCTCGTGTCTATACGTATACGTGTAGAAATGGTCAGTTCAGTGCATGTAGTGTGGTTTTCAAATGCTACCATCTTGGCTGTTTCAAAGACTTTTGTTTCAGAATATATCAAGAGCAGTTCACCTTATGAACTTGTAAAGTTCTTCCAGAAGTCTTTGTAAGAAGACAGGTGTTCCCAACAAGCAAACTGGCTACAGAATGGAATACGTTACGTACAGCTTCAGAGTCCAAGCTATTGACTTAAGTCCAACATTATCTGAAGTATTCTACTCTAATAACTTGGAAAACAGGCCATCTGGTATTATTATGAACAGATTAACTACAATGTTCTGCCATGTGCTGTAAGCATTTTTGGTGAAGGGTGAATATTGTGCTAGTGTTTCTATACTGTGGTATTAAAATCATGTAGGAGACTTTAGTTACCTCAAAAGAAAACGCATTCTGGTAGAGCTTTGCTGTTGCAGAGAAAGTCTGTAACCCAGTAAACTTTTTGAAAATTGCTTATGTTCTGGAAACATCATACATTTAATTCCATGTATGTATGATGAATTATATAATAAATTTATGACAGTATAGTGGCTGTAACATAAACATAAGTCCTTCCTTCAGGTCTTGTTAGGATGGACTTCCAACTGATTATAATTGTAGTTAGGATGCCCAATATGCATCGTTATTGTTACTTTAGCATAAGGGACAGAGTTTACAGATGCTGTGTCCCATTTTGGATGTGTTTGTATGTCATTATTTTGTGCTTCCACTTCTAAATTTATAGATTTTAGCTCAGTGAGGACAGTGGTGTTTAGTCTGATAATTTAGCATGCACTGAATGACTGAATTTGAGCAACAGTTTTAAAAGCCACAAAGTCAGTTTTTGAACTCAAGTTGGTATTAGGAGGCACTCCTTGGTTAAGAAGGGGGTTGCTGAAAGAATATGAAGAGGAGTATTGTCTTCCACCGCTTTCCAGAGCACTAATGTGAGAGAAAGCATTGTAATGTTAGAGGTCTTGTACAATGACATACATTGTTTAGCAGAGCAGCATGAATTTAATTAACAGTTGACCCTATTTCATGTCCTTTGCATTGGAAGGGTCAGCATAACCTTGTTACGAATAATTGTGGTGTATTTTAAAAAGCAGTGTCTAGCTGAAGTGCTCTATTTGTAAAGGGCCATTGGGGCTCTGAAGCAGCTCTCTTAGTGACATTTTCCTGCACAGATTTGTTTAGATAATATAGAGGCTACAGACATACTGTTCTTTTTGTGTTTCATAGAATATGCTTCAAATAGCTAACTAAAGTACTTGTTCTTTTTTAATCCTTTCTACACTCTAATATTTATTTTTAAATAAGAGTTCTCTGCTAACAGATAGCTTTAAAACAGCCAAATGGTTTTCAGGTGGCACTTGGAGACTCAACTAGAAAACGTTTCAATTATTTGCATTTAATCTGTCTTGGTTCCAAAGTACAGTATTTCAGCTATTTGTTGGGTTTCTAAAAGCTTAGGTACAAGAAATCTCTGAGGTAGATACTGATAACTAAAATGCTACTACTTTTCTACTCAAAGGAACCGATGGAATTAAAAAAATACATTTTAAAATATTTTTTTCTTACTTAAAAAGACACTGTCCTTCTGATAATTCATGAGCAAGAGACTGGGGACTATCTATACAGGGATGTTTGCTATAGACTTGTCTCTTCCTGAAATCTGAGACTCGAGTGCTAATCTAGTGTTAGGACAATATTCCTAGGATATGTTTGTTCCCTCTTAACATTTGCATTGATGTTTGGAGATACTGCATCCTAAACACAGTTCTTTCAGCTAATATCAGTGCATTCTTGTAATTTGGATTCTTATAGATAAAATTATCCTGTTTCTGAAATTTAGGCTCAACCACAGGTTTGTCTGCAACACCTCCCGCCTCTTTGCCTGGGTCACTAACCAATGTGAAAGCGTTACAGAAATCACCAGGACCCCAGCGGGAAAGGAAATCATCCTCATCCTCAGAAGACAGAAATAGAATGGTAAGGAAAAGATCAGCTATTTTTATTTGTAGTGTGGGATATTTGTAGTATAGAAATACCACGCAATCGTGTTCCTCTCACTTTTCTCTCATCCAAGCCATCTGAATTATTTTGAAGATGACTATGGCAATGGTCAAGGACTTTAAAACAGTAAATAATGGAGTGAGAGAACCACTTTTAAACCACTTTGAACCAATAAGTAATTGTGAGACTGAGATATAAATCACTTAAATAATTGACTAGACTCACTTTTACTCCCTTGTACCCAAATGTTTGGTGTGCTTCATATTGTAATGCTAGTTTCCCTTCACATAATGGCTTAACTTTTCCGACCATGATTCATAAACTTTGAAAGTAACAAATTTATGTAACAAATTTTTATGTAACAATGCATAAAAATATCTGCATTTTTTAAATTCACAATTTAACATTGTGATTGAATAAGAACTGAAAAATAAATATGACTTTCTTTTTGGTAAGAGTTTCTTAATATTTTCTGGTTTTAACACTGCCAGAAAGCTGTGGCAAATATTTCATGCCAGGAAATAATTTGGTATAGCTGTGTCCTGAGGTTTTGTTTATGGCTGATTTGAAAAGTCAAAAACAATACCTGAAAAAAAAAAGGTTTTTTAGGACTTTAATGATATGAAATGCTGATACCAAATCTTTAACAAAAGAGCTGCTTTTACAGACATTAATGCACTTTTTGTTTGTTTGTTTTACTCTTTATTGTTTTTGCATATATATAAAGAAAACTCTTGGTCGACGGGATTCAAGTGACGATTGGGAGATACCAGATGGACAGATCACAGTTGGACAAAGAATAGGGTCTGGATCATTTGGAACAGTCTACAAAGGAAAGTGGCATGGTATGTGGCCATCATGGCAAACAGTTATTCTTCAGCAAGTCACGCTGCCTGCCAGGGGTCACCCAGCTGGAATGTAATAGGGAGAGTCCACTGAAGGGCAGTAAATATGATTTGGAAATTAGTAAGTAGTGTAAGGACTTCATATTGTTTAGAGACTCAGCTCTTGCATGTTATTCTGAATTAAGGCATTATAAGAGTAAAGATGAAACATAGTTATTAGGTAAAGGAATCCATCTTGACAAATGAGGATTTCAAATGTGTATTTTAATAGCTTTGGCTTGGATAGGATTCCTCAGAGTAAAGTAAGAACAGTGGTTTTACATTTCACTGAGTATTTACTTATTTTAATATTGTAGTGATTTATTTCATGAAAGCTAGAAAACAGGGTACCTCAGTATTTTTCATGCTCTGTATAGCATTTTCTCAGTAGAGGAATATGTATCAGTGGCACTTACTAAAAATTGCTGTTTTAAAGGTGATGTGGCAGTGAAGATGTTGAATGTTACGGCACCCACACCTCAGCAGTTACAGGCTTTCAAAAATGAAGTAGGAGTGCTCAGGTAAGATTATTTTTAATGGCATAAAATAACACGTGTAAATTTGTGCCTCATTAATCACTGAATTTTAGATTTCCATTAGAACACATTGGTCTTACTCCTCCGTGATGATACCTCAGGCAGAAAAAATAACTATTTCTTTGTATCCACTGCTAGTTCTTCCCTCCCCTGTATGTGTTTGTCTGCACATCTGTGTTGTCAATATGTGTATGTCAAAACACTCAAGACAGGACTGGTTTTTGCTATTATACTGCCCCCAGGGCACAGTGAAGCCTAAGTGTGAGCTGTAGGCCTTTCTTTCCACACATTCACATTTTGAGATTGAAGGAGAGCACACTAATTGTTGGTTTTCAGCTGCAGCACTGCCCACATTATCTGTTGTTTAATAGTTTCTGTTCAGTAGCATTAATTTCTCTTTGAGGTTTTTTTTAATTGTATTTCTCATAAAATCACTTCTTGATTTCCTTTTCTCATGTCTACTGCTTGTGGTTTCTCAGAGGAGGTATTTGTTTTGGGTTCTGCTCTTAAAAGAGGATCCGTCAGCATAGTATGATAGAATATTTTTTGGGAAAGAACATTGCATCCAAGTACAATCTTGAGCATTGTCAAGCCTAATTCTGTTTTAAAAACAAAATAGCAAGAAGGTTTTTGCCTCTGGAAACCTGATGTGTTGAGCTGGGTGCCTGTGCTACAGAAACATCCCCAGTAAGTTACATGCTGAAAAGGGGATGGTCAACCTTTTTCCCAAGGAAAACGTTCGTTCCAAAAACTCTAAGCTCTTAGCTGTGGAAGTAGAGGCATTTCTGTGGTATGGTACTTTGGATATCTCTTCATTTTTTTGACATAATTTTGACAGAACTTCGTGAAATCAAAAATCTTGTTTTTCGTAGCTAGTCCAGATTTGTGCTTTGGATATCTCTTTTTTTTTTACATAATTTTGACAGAACTTTATGAAATGAAAAATCTTGTATTTCATAGCTAGTCCAGATTTGTGCCAGCAGTCCCATAGCTGGAGTCCAGCCTTTTTGGTTGTTGATGGTTTCAGCATTTCCGTAGTCAGTTGTTCTATCCTTTGACCCAGACAAGGCAGATTTACCCGTTGTTGTGCCTTTTCCATTATGCTTCATCATTTTTTGCAAGGATTTTTTTGCCAGATTTGCAAGAAACTGCATATTTTTTGTTCCCTCAGCAGTTACTCTCAGCAGCACTCAACAAATCCGTGAACCTGAAAAAGGCACAGTCACATAGCGTAGAACTGTCCTGGTCTGCATTTCCGCGAGGGCAAAGGTTCACACTCTGGGCTCCCATGTTAGTGTTTTAACATAAGAAAACATAATAAGAGTCTGCCATCTTCCACCACAGCAAAGACTTAACAAGCTACCGCAGGTTTTAAGCTTGATCTGTCAGGTTTCACCAGCAGAGAGCTGACTGCCTTCTAGTATACCAAGCTGTGTTGGAAGAAGATTGCCTTTATTTTTCCTCAGCCCCTGGGAAAGCTAGGAAATACTCCATAATTCTTAGGGCCTCATCTTTGTAAAATCTCGTTGGTATGTTTGGAGGTATGTAGTTCTTCCTGTCTATTTGATGGCAGTAAGAACATGATTGACTTGTCCTGGAGGGTGAGGAGAACATTTCAGATTTCACAGTGGATTCTTTCAGGCCTTGAATCTACTGGGATATCTACTGAGATAATTCTTTTTGCATTGTTCATTAGGAAATTTTTCTGTATGGAGTTGCTCCATCTTTGGAATAGGTTTGATTTAATCTGGTCAAATCTCTGTGGTGAACTCTAGTTTCTCCGAAGTGCTGTTTGGAAACAAGTTCATATCATAACCTTGCTGAGGAACAGTTTTCATACCTGTTTCCATCCTTTCTTTTATGCTGGCTTCATAGAGAATACAAATTCTTGTCAAAAAAAGCCCTAAGTAAAACTGAAGACTTGTCAAGGAAGTGTGTTGATGGTATACAAACAAAAAAGTTGTCCTTTCTGGAAGCCTCTGAGACTGGAACTTCATTTTGGATGTCTTCCTTATGGGCAGCAACATAACGTAGCTGGACTAAGATCACACAAAAGCAGACCTGCCTGCAAACCATTTCCATCCATGGGGACCTAGTGGAAATAGTATCTTCTGAGCAGTCCTGTGCTAAGGTGCTTGCCTGGGGGAAGCCGTGCTTACCTCAGAGTAGTTATTCCATGTTATTATGATCAGAAAGGCTAATGTCTGGAATAATTCATGAAACTGAATTTAGCAAGAGATTACCATGTTACCTTAGTAAAACTTGAGATTGACTCAACTTCTGTTTGGAAATATATATGTCAACTGTGAAAGACCTGCCTGGGTTTTGCCTGATTTCCTATTCATTTTTATTTGTTTTTAAACAGGAAAACACGACATGTGAATATCCTGCTTTTCATGGGTTATTCAACAAAACCCCAGTTGGCTATTGTTACACAATGGTGTGAAGGGTCCAGCTTGTATCACCATCTACACATCATTGAGACCAAATTTGAAATGATCAAGCTAATTGATATTGCACGACAGACTGCACAAGGCATGGAGTAAGTATCGTATTACTTGTCTGAAAACGAGCTCTGGGGCAAAGTTTTCTTATCCCCTTTCCACTGTGGTTGACATTGGCAAATAAGGCTGGTTATCTGCTCACTTTGCCGAGCCCAGGGTCCTGTCTCGATCATCAAAGCATTTGGTGAAGTGTTTATTATTCTGATGAGTAAAATAGACTTTGTGTGCTTTTTTTGGAACATAGGAAAATACAGTCTTAAATAGAAGAGTCTTTACAAACTTTATAATGCAGATAATCATATGGTAGGAGGTAGAGCATAGTTTAAAAAGAAACACCCTGTGAATAAAAGGACAGAATTCCATAAGATATGCACAAGGCAGACAGTCCAGCCCTGTTAGCAAAAAGAATCAGGGTTTTTTTTCCTTTTTTTTTAAGTATCATAGCTCTTTAAATAACAGCTTTCAGTATTTGGAGAAAACATACCTATTTGGTTCTAAGGATTGTAAATAATCTTTACTCCCATAGAGGACCATTGAGTTAGAATTTACAAAATTAGCCCAATGTTTTCTGTCAGAATCAGAGCACTGCTGTAAGATCAGAGAAATCACCCTCCAGCTGAAAAACCACTATGATGATTGCAGTTCATTGTGCCATTTTTCTACTAAGTATTCTATTACATTTTCAGTCAAGAGGTGGGGAGGTGTTAGCAGCAACCAGCCTTAGCCTTCTGTTAGCCTGCTCATCTCCCCAGGCCCCATCTGTAGGTAGTGGAGATGCAGAAACTGTTTTATGAGCATGATTCAAAGCAGAGACATAAATTGGGGCTTTTCCAGGAGTTTCGTGCCAATCTCATTGACTAAACAAAGAGCCATGGGAGACTGGTTGCCTAATTTAGGCTGTATCTGTGCTGTGGGGCAAGTACTCTCCTCTGTGTTCCCTGCCATCTATTTATCCAGTCTGCAAGGGATCTTTTTTCCACTCCTGTGCTTAAAAGCAGTCAGCATACCTGAGTACACACTGACACTGGGAAGCACATTTAGAAACACCTTACCTAAAGCTGTGACTAGCCTGCAAAGGGTCTTGACAGTCACCATTAAGGCTGGGAGGCAGAACTTTCAGCACTGAATGTGAAAAAACTACTGAAGTTGTTTTTATTGTGAATATTGAGTTAGAGTTGAAAAGCAGAAGTTGGAGCACAATTGTTATTTCATTCAGCAGCAACATCAGATTTGAGCTGGAAATGTAAGCTTTATTATGCTTTTGGCTTGTTTTTCCTGTGAATGTTGCAGAAACTGTCATTGGTAACTGAAGTTTTACTACCTTACAGTTTGAATATCTACAGAATTTGTGTTTCAGTAATACAGTGAATTTTGAGTTGCTGATTAGTGAAATATTATATAACCCACCTAATCTATGATATTCCTTTTCAGTTATTTGCATGCCAAGTCAATCATCCACAGAGACCTCAAGAGTAATAGTATCCTTTCCCAGAGATGTAATTCTGGAATGTGACAGCATTCCTGGTTCTTTTTTTTTTTCTGCCAGAGATTAACTTAATGATATGAAAAGCTGTTCATGTATAAATATTTGCCAAGTAGAAATTTCACTGAGTAATAGGGGTATTATCAATAATAAAAGGGGTAATAGCAGTAACAGCAAGATAAGGGATGCCTACGGTGTCTGTTGATTTCATTGCAATAACATAGGAGGTTTTGGGGGTTTTTTGCATCCTTTGGTTTCTACATGTAATGAAAAATTGTGCCAGTTCACTCACGAAATATTTTCAGCTTTCCTCATACTTGGCATTTCAAGAAAGTACTTGGCACTTCAAGAAAGCCACCTGGCCGTGGTCTGTTCAGCACTGGCCCAGTCATTACTTATGTAACCCTTAAGTAGCATAATTCCTTATGCTGGCTGCTTAGAATCTGTATTTCACAAAAACCTTCTTCAGTGATGGTCAGTGGTAAAAACTGTCATGTGTATGTTGCAAATTTGTAGCTGTTTTTTGTTCTTGTAGGACAGGACCAGCATTGCTTGTCTGTTTTCCCTTAACATTTCCCCCTTAGATATATTTCTTCATGAAGACCTCACAGTAAAAATAGGTGATTTTGGTCTAGCTACAGTGAAATCACGATGGAGCGGATCCCAACAGTTTGAACAGTTGTCTGGATCTATTCTATGGATGGTATGTAAAGGGGAAGTGGTGAGTTTCTTTCAACAAATTTATTTGCCTTTGGCCAAAATTTCTACACTATTCCTTCAGCACACTGATATACACAAGCTGTCTTAAGCTGGGAAAGACAAGCAGTAGTATGAAGTACTAAATGAATACTTTTCAACTGTACTTTAAGCATATGTTTTCCAGTAGTCAGCAAAAAAACTTTAGTGTCTTAATCCTTTACTCTGAGGTTTAAACTGAAAAGAAAATAGTGGCTAAGGAAAAAGGATATAATTATTCCAATGTTGAGGAGAAGGTGAGAAAAGCCATGCAAAACATCCTGCAAAGGAGTAGAGGAACTAGCTCAGCTGAAAGTAAGGTGCTCTTAAGTTTTAAGAATTCAAACATGGTTATTCCACAGTACAACTCCTGTACAACTCCAGTTTCTCCTTTTCTCCCTGGAAAAACTTAAAGCTCTGTTAGTTGGCATTATTCTCAGTGTTGTTATAATCCTAGTTTCCAAATGTGTTCTCAGCCTGGCCAAGGTAATTTTGTTCTGTCATAGAGGAATAAAGAGATCACCAAACTAAAATGAAGCAATGGGTTATGAGATTCATGTCAGCACCCACTCTGTATTAGCACCCAGTAACCTGTGAAGAGTGGACCTTGCACTTGTACTCTGGAAAAGTCCATGTTTTGTTCCTGGTGTGTGAGGTGCAGTGTGATGTAGAGAAATGAAAACTAATTCTTCCCTTTTATGATACAGGCACCAGAAGTTATTAGGATGCAAGATAAAAACCCATATAGCTTTCAGTCGGATGTGTATGCATTTGGGATTGTTCTTTATGAATTGATGACTGGACAGTTACCATACTCAAACATCAACAACAGGGACCAGGTAAGGGAAGGGATTGACTTCAGTCAGCTGTGGCCTGAAACAGAGATCAATTCAGCCTTGGGTAGTGCACTTTCTGGTGTGTTGTGTGATTGATATTTCCAATTCTGATGTTGTGAGATGACATTTCTGCGTTTTCTAGATCTGCCTCAGCCACATAGCACCAATTTACTTACTTCTCTTGAGGTATTTTTTGTGTTCTTTTTTACTTTAAGTATAGATTCTCAGCTTCTGAACTGGTTGCCAGGATACTTATTAGGGAGAGAGCAGGTTACTTAATAGTAATCTAGAGTAGTTCTGCAAAGGCGAAATGATCCTCTATATATGTGTTCCGTTATTCCTCTTTATTTCCTCCCCACCCCACCCCTCCACTTGCATGGAATAATAGTGCAACTACAGGACAAAACAGAACAGTCATCTCACTGAATGTTTTGTATTCATTTCGATCTTGAGAAATGCAAGCACCATCTAACTGAATTTCAGGAAATCAGCGTTTCTCAAACCCTGCTTGATGGAGTATATGACTTCCCAGAGTGTGTGAATCCTCTAAGAAGATTAGTTAATTGTGAACAAATATTCCTTAAGTCTTAATGATACCACATGCCTGTAATATATCTCCATGGGTTAGGTGCTTTGGGAAGGCATACCTGATTCATTATTTCTGTCTAATCTGAAAATAGTATCTGTGCATCAAGATCTTTGGTGTGAACTATTCTGTGTCTAAGCAGTGATGTATTTATGTTGCTTCTGTGTCCTCATCTCTTGTTTTTTCACTGTCAGTACTTGAGAACTGCAACCATAGCAACGTTCATCTGTGAATGCCATTTTATAAGGCTGCTTCCATATCTGCCAGAACATATCATCCCAATTCATCAAATTTGGAGTGACTCCTTCTTTTTAATTTTTTTTTTTTTATATAATTTTGCTTTCGCCTTTTGAAAGAAGGGAGATGTCTGGATTCCTGGCCAGATGGATCCAGCCTTCTAAAAACTTATTTAACATTGTCTTGTCTTTACCTTTTGAGATTTGAAAGATGAACCCAGTGATGTAGGTGCTTACAATTAAGTGCTGAAACAAATTTTAAAATGCAAGTGAAGCCACCATATACAATGTGATCTAATGTCTTGAGTTTTGCCACTCCTTGTCTGTTATCTCCAAAGTTGTAAATATTCAGCTACTATGACACAACTAAGATTCTTAGTGAGCAAAGCATCATTCTTGTTACACCTCAGTGTTCCTCTCACCATAATAGATTTTTCTAGACTGTTCTTGTAGTGATAATCTCTTTTCTCTAGTTCAAAGTAAAAGTTTAATCCCTATGTTATTTGTAAAGAGAGTATTTGAAACAGAAATAATGAATTTTGACTAATTTCAGCTTGTGCAATTATTTAGAAAATATTAACACAGATCATGGTAAGTCTCATTGCAGCAGAGGTAAGGGACAGGGTACATAAGTCTACTATGAAATGCTGCTCTGGCACATGGGGATTTCTAAAGAAACCATATGGGAGTTTTATATTCCTCCTTGATGCCAACACAGATGTGACTGAAGCAGAAAACTGAAAAAGGACCAGGACTGTGTTAGTATAAATAACACGAATGACATGCTTGAGATGTGAGGGGTTTCTGATGGTTTTCTTTCCCCAGTGTCAAGATATGAAATAGTTACATTTCATTAGATAGAAGGTATGACACACCTGCTGGGTCTGCCTGAGTGTTCAGAAAAGGCAGTGATTACCTGCTGCAGCATGAATGGATCTTTGATTAACTAGTTTGGAAGGGCTTTTTAGTGTCAGTGCAACTGCAGTACTCAAACCACATTGCATTTGACTTTGGCTTGACATGATGATGTTTGATGTGGTTTTTTTATGTATACAAGAGACCATTAACCATATTTATGTTTTGTTTTCCTGCTTCCTATCAGTTTACTTTGGTTTATGCTTAAGTTTTATCCTTAGGCGAAATATAAGCCTTCCATGTACAAAGAATTACTGTAAAAATACAAAACCTGTCTGTCTCCTCTTCTACAGAGGAGAGACAGTACCTCTTTTTCTTTTGTGGTTTTCTTGGGGGTGGGGAAGATGATCAGATGTCAAGAATGAGCTTTTGTGTTGGAAAAGTATATGGCAGAATTTATTCTTAAAAGCTGAAGGGTTTTAATATCCAAAGTCCATGTATTTCTTAAAATACCTTTCTGCGTGAACTTGCTGTTGATTTATAAAACAGAATACTTCCTTTTACAGAATATTTATTTTTAGACATTCTGTTCCTGCCAAAGTTGCTTATTCTTGTTTTTGTCACAGTTTTTGACACTGAAGAACCGTTCCTTGGATGGTTATTGCTATAAATGGTAACCATTTACTAGTGTTCAAGTTCCACAGAAATCTCTCCAAGGAGGAGGAGGAGGAAAGATCTAATTTTTTCTCTGTACTGAATAGGTTAGCAAGCATTGCTCTAAGAAATCTGGCAATTTCAATACCAGATAATGTTTCCAGGGAGCAGAAAACTTTCTGCTGGAACTAAAATGTTCTTGCAAAATGTTCGCATTTTTTTACTGTTTGTTTTATGGACTCATCATCTTCCTCCTTCATCTTTTTTTCCCCTTTAATAAAGATAATTTTTATGGTGGGACGAGGATATCTATCTCCAGACCTCAGCAAAGTACGGAGCAACTGTCCAAAAGCTATGAAGAGACTAATGGCAGAATGCTTAAAAAAGAAGAGAGATGAGAGACCCCTTTTTCCACAGGTGAGAGATGCTCCCCTTTAACTCTCAGTAGACTTTAGAATTCAAAGTTGCAAACTCACTGGCCAGTTCCAAATTTTTTTTATTAGTGTTACAACATGACTTCATAAGAGCATTGGCTCAGTACCTGGTTAGAGCTGTTTAATTAGAAATGCTTATTTTAATTTAAAAACACAGGTAGTAAAATGACCTGCGTATTTGGAAAAGCATTTATATGTTGGAGAAAGTTTCAACTGGGAGATAGTGAAATTGATAATTATAGTTAGACACAAATTAGAACTTAATATATGTGCTCAGAAATCTTTATAGCCCCCCTTCTTGCTCTTCCCCAAGCTTTATGAAGGGAAAGTGATAGTTCTGCCACAAAACTAGATTGTTATCATGCCTGCTGAGGAAAGTTTGGGTTCTAAAAGCTTGGAGGAGGGGAGTGGGAATCTGATTTTTTTTCTGCTTTGAATGTAACCAAATAATTTTCAAAAAATAAGGAGCTCCCCCTGCTGACTTTTTGGTAAATGGTATTTAAGCAAACTGCTGCCAAAGCTGGGTTTGTTTGCAGCAATGGCAGCTACAGGTACTAGTGCTTGGACAAGGAGCCAAATAAAAAGCAACTGTATACACTGAGCTTACAGAGGGAAATTAGTATGCCTTTATAAAGGGGGAAATTCCCAAACTGTCCTTTCCAGCTTTTGCAGGATACAAACATCAAGCATGCAATGCAGTAATCAATATTTTAAAAATTCTGTTTTAATTTAAATATTTTTAATATTTAATATTTTTTTAATATTTAATATTTTTAATTTAAATATTTTAATGTTCTGCCTTTGGTTTTAAGAAAGAGTTTCAGCTTTGGAACAACATGTTTGATCATTTATTTTCTACCTGTTTTAGATTCTTGCCTCCATTGAGCTTCTGGCCCGGTCATTGCCAAAAATTCACCGCAGTGCATCTGAGCCCTCATTAAACCGGGCTGGCTTCCAGACAGAGGATTTTAGTCTCTATGCTTGTGCTTCTCCAAAAACGCCCATCCAAGCAGGGGGATACGGTGGGTTTCCAGTGCACTGAAGAGAAATGTGAAAGCATGTGCCTGTGTGTCTGTGTGCTGGGGTGTTCCTCTGAGTGCAGCTCGTGTACCAGCTGTGGTTTTAAGGTTTACTGAGGGAACGAAGATTCACTTCCCAACACTGGGCATTGAATGTCCCAAGCACAAAGTCTGTGTTGGTAACGAGTGCCCTGGGAACAGCTGGCACGAGAGGAATTTTAACGTCCCGTAAGAGACATGGGAAAAGTCACTTCAAAACAAGCAAGGTCTTCTTGAGGTCATGGGGTGTCAGTTTTGCCTAGTTTATTGATTGGAATTAGTTACTCAGGAGTGTATTTGATTTTAATTACACAAGCTATGGTGGTGTGTTGTTTTGGTTTTATTTTTTTTACTTCAGTTGAGGTCATTATATTTGAGCAATAAGCTTTAGATTCTTCATTTAGTAATGCTGTTCATATGTGGGAAACAACTGGAAAAATAAACTGAGCTTCAAGGCTGAACACAGTCAAAACTTCTTGTGGTCAGCAGAAGTGAGCAGATACAACACAGAATCCAGAGAAAGCCCTGAATTACGTGTGGCTCTTATTTTGAAAGTCGAAATTTAAAATAGTCCTATTTAGAGAAAATCTCTTCCTGCAGAAGAGTGGTGACATGGGTTGTTATTTTTTAATTTCCCCCCCCCCTAAATACTCTGACCTGCTATAGTTTAGACCATATCAAAATGTTCTATTACAATGCAACACAGAAGAAATTCTGAATCTGCTTTTGCCAAACTGCAAGACTGTTACTGGTAATGGTGCCTGTATCCTTCGATTAGCACGGATTTCAAAATTTAGGAAAACATTTTAAACCTCAAGCATGACCAAATACTTTGAAAAAAATGCTGCTTAACACCCATAATGGGAAAAGAAGATTTGAAAAAGCAGCTGTTTTCATGGAAATCGGTGTTATACAATGAATTCTGTTAAGATGAAAGGTTTTAATTATTTTAATATTGTTAAGAATACCACTGAACATGACAAATTGATTTTTTCACTTCCATATAGAAGCTGCTAGCTTGACTAGAAGGGAGTCAGCTAGACTAGATATCTGACTGAGAAAGCTAGACACCTTACCAAAATCCTGCCAGCTCACTTGGTGTTTTTCTCTGGAGCATTCCTCTGGAGCAGGTAAATCAGAGGAGTGGTTGAGGTTGTATCAGTCTTTGATGTCAGATATGAAAACAAGATGTACTGACAGTGTTCTTGCGTATTTTGAGGTGAGTTACATGGTTTTACTTGGTTTAAACAGCTAAGCTGTTAATTTTCACAGATTCTTGCATCAGAATAAGCTATTGCTGCTCTTGTTAGGACTTCAGGGGCCAAGAGTGTTCCTAGTGGCTTCTGATTTACATACACATGGAGAAGTTGCTACCAATAAGTTTTTGAAATAGATCAGGAATTCCAAAAAGCTTGGCTTTCTGATGTCAGACAACTGAGCCTTTTGAAATGGGAAGCAGATGTAGAGAACTGGAAGAGATATAGGCAGTTTCTACATTTTGTGGCTGGATTCTAATAGGCTTTTTGGCTTCTGCTGTTGGAACAATTTTTGTCATTTTCTTAGTCAAGAAAATTTAACTGTTGAAATCTCCCTCTATGGAAATAGTTATATAGGATGAAAGTTGTTACTGTTTTAGAAAATCTGTTTCCCATCTCTCTGGTAGCTTTACCTCATTTTGGCAGGCTTATCTTAAAATGAAAGCAGGACTTAAGTGTTTTCCTCTCTCATTCTTTATTTTTTATATTTATTCTAGACAATGAGGAGGAATGCTTCCTAAGCTTTGGGGTATTCAGTACAGGCTACAATTTCCGTCTCAGAGCAAGAGGATGCTACTGGGTCTCCTGCAGAATCTAGAAATGTGGCATTCCACACAGAAAAGTCTTGACTACATGGGGAGTTGCAGAGAGTGCAGAACCATCATCACTGCCCTGCCCAGGCTTACTCTTTTTCAGATCTGCCCTATCAGTTCAAACAAGTTACTCCTTGGAGTAGTGTTATCCTCCTTGTTGTTAAGATTGTTCGTCTGTGCTCTGGGAACTACATTTATGGGGGAAAAATGCTGCCATCCTTAGACACACTTGGCCCCATTTCCTGCTGCATGGTCAGTGCATTCTTCCAGTCTCACCTGTTCTTACACGTCGAGCACCGTTTGAGGTCCATGGCCATAATGTGATCTTAGCTTCTCACTAAACATTTTATGAAGCCTAAAAGGAAGCTGGGTTTTGTGGATCATTAACTTTATCTGACATAAAGGCATTTAGAGCATTCTGTAATTTGTAATTGCTGCTTCAGTGAGATTTGGGAACATCTGTAGGATGAAGATGATAAGTACATCTGTGGATTTGGGTCAGAGTTCTCAAAGGTGCAACTCAGCTATGTTGTTCAGAAACAGATACCCATTGGTCCAGAAAACAGGTCATAGGATCTCAGGTTTTTCTGGAGGAGTAGTTTATAGCAGGTGAGCTTCTTTTTTAATTTACTTTCCTACATCTCGGTATAGAAACAAAATCTGTCTTGTTACCTTCTAGAAGATGTTCCAGATTTTTATTTAACCCTGTGGATGGTATCCATACAAAAGATCAGCACAAAATCCAACAGAAAATTACCTCTTTGTCATAGTTTTCCTGTGTCTGTGAATGTAATCCAGGCAAGGTGTTGGAATCTGGTGTTTCTCTTTGATAAGTCAGTTACTCTCTACTTCAGTAGATAAGGCTGGCACAGGCCTGGAAGGGAACCATTATTCTCCTTATGATTCTTCGGGGAAACATGGCATCTACCCCTGCATAAGGAGGACAGTTACGGTGTTGTGTATATACCTGAGTAACCTCGTGAGTCCAGGTTAGAAATTTGTGAGAGTAGAGAATGGTAGCTGCATCTTGAATCCCTCCAGGAATCAGGGGCAGCAGGTTCACTCAAAACATGCCCTTGTATTACATTGTTTGGAGGCAACATGAAAGATCTTGATCATCTTTTTAGTAGAGAGTTTTTGAAAGTGTGCATTTAAAATAGTTTGTGCTCGCTCTGCATAATACAAGCGTGAAAGGACTGTAGCAGCTAACTTGAAAGGGCTTTGTAAGAAGTGTGTGTTTTCAGATGCTATCCATCCTTTGGAAAGGAATTTCTTTGTTACCAGTCAAAGCAAGTATCTGAAGTTCTGCTTGCTCAGAAGCACCTCACATGTCTGGCTCACAGTGAATATAAATGTCTGGGGTTTTTTTCACATAACAAGTGGCTAAGTATGTGGTTTCATAGCTTCATGGTAAACTGATCTCATTTGGATCAGCCATGGCCTACCTCCTTACCCTTGCACTGGCAGATGCTCTCCAATTCCACGAGTCTGTTCCGTGCATTTGTGGGGGTTTCCCCCACCATGAACAAAGCAGCTCTCCAAAAACTGGTTAGAAAACTCTCCTTGCCCAACAGCCTGAGGTAGCATTTCCTACGTCAGCTCCTTGAACCATCTTGCTTTAAGGACACATAGTGCTGCTGTGGCACAATGGGCAGGTCACTGCTCTACAGCCCAGGTCAAGAGATAGACTGGGACCTCAATAGTCCCAGTTTGGATTAGCATTGCCCATTGCAGGACTGTGTCCAAAGACATAGCAGGGCAGAATCAGGACAGGGCACACTGGGTTGTGTTCCTAAAGCTGTCTTCATTGCTCTCAGGCAAGACCTTCCTGGCCTGCTAGAAAATGATGAATTCACATTTCATGTTACTTCATTTATCTGTATGCATCTTAGCCTCAGGAAGAGGGTTCTCTTCCCTTTTTTCAGGTGGGGTTTCTTCTGGAAGCTAAAAGAACCAGCTACAGATATTTTACATCTTCAGAATAGAAAAGGTGACATAGAGTACTTCAGCTACTCCTCAGAAGGTCCTATTGACACCTATCTACATTCCTCATCTAGGGAAAGCTGCTGCTGGCATCCGCATTTTATACATATTCAATCAACATAATCTTGTTATTAGATGAACATGTTACCTTTTTTTGGTCTGCTATTGATTTGAGATCAGATTAACACCAAAGAAAATGTGTTTGCTAAGGTTTTATTTAAATGGCAGCAAAGTCTGAAAACTACCTTTTTAAAGCTACCATACTGTCTGAAATACTTCTTGACTTCTGATCCTATTTTTCCATTGCTCTTTTCCAATTGAAGGTTCATCTTTTATCTTCTGAAATCCCTATATGACTATTAAAATCTGAATTATTACTGGAAATGGGCAGAAGGACAAGATGAGTAATGAGGGAGCCATCTCTTGTTTATAAATTGATCTTTAATCAGCAATTTAGAAAGGCAGAATGAAAAATAAATTAAGTACAGCATGTTTTGAAGGTGTAGCTAGGCATGAATGTCATTCTTAAAAATTGGCCTCACAGGCAATACTCGATGACTTTTTTGTCCTTCTCTTAAAAGAAAAAATACACAAAACTTGAGATGTTTCTGGAAGATACTGTGAAGAGAGTCACAGTGAAATGTAGCAGAAAGCAGCAAGAAAAAAGGATCAAATACTTAGAGTATTTTAGAGCAAGAGTTTTATCTGTTGGTGGAACTTGTAAAATAGGAAATTAGGTCCATTGTGAAGCTTTTATTCCTTTGTTGTTGTAACTTAAACCTGCCACCACAGTCTATAAAGACACATAGAGCTTCAGGTCTGTCACTGCCTCCTGTGCCAGCCCCTTTACTTTAGACCTTGGGTGTACTCCCTTCTCATTTCTTGGGACACACAGAGCGCTCTCCCTGCTTTCTTCAAGTTCCTTAGAACTGGATCAGCTGCTCCTCCCAGGCCTTTTAGATGCCTTTTCTTCCCCCTCCTCATGCAGACTGCTGATGACTCTTTTGGTTCTCTTCTTTATAGAACAAGACATTCCATGATAAGCCTAAAATTTTGTTTGCAGGGATGTTTCTGTTTCGGTTCCAATATTCAGAATAAGAATCTTAAGACAAAACAAAGCCAACAACACGGTTGCTCTTGAAAAGATGGAAGGATACCAAGATAGGGAGCAGTTGTTTGGATGTAGTGGCGTTCAGCACTCTTCTGTTGAACAGAACAAAGGGTCTCTTATGCGTACTTATCACTCCTTCCTTATTACAAAAGCTCTGAGAAGTGCTGTCAAGAAAGTGACATAAACTAACCCAAAATTCATATAAAACCCAACACAGGAAAATTACAGGTCTGCTCCTTTTTCTCTTCCTCCTGAGTCCTTTTGATTATGCGTAGTTGGACACCCCTCCCTAAAAATCCTATAGAATACAATTTCTTTGTGGGTGGCAGGAAATTCTTTTTGCTAAATCATAAGATTGAGAGGGTTAGTATGTTAGATACAGCTTCTATTCAATCTTCTGGGAAACTTCTTAAAGACTTTGGGCAGCGATTTTACTCTGTGCCATAGTTCCTTTCAGAAATGGGACTACCAGTCTATCTCACGGTATGGTGACACTGAATAAATTATGTAGAATTTCAGGAGGTCATCACATGTGAAAGCACTGCATTTAATTATTTTTTATTCAGTAATTCTGAAGGAAGCATGTGGTTGCTTTATTTGTTGTGCTCTCTGTTAGTGAGGCCTAATTTCTGGTCTGGGATTGAGTAGATAGTCTCCCCATTCTTGTTTTTCTCTCAGTCGGTTGCTATGTTGGTCTCTAAACCAGATTGTAGCATTCTTTAATACTGGTTTTATATTCAGGCACTTTACTGTATATAGCCTTTGAAGGTTAATGGGTGTGTCAAACAGTTCTTTGTTATTAAACCAATTTTACACCAGAACAGAAACTAGTTTGCAGTCAGACGCATTTATGGAAATTGTTGCTTCTCAGGAGGATATATGTGCAATAAGGAGTTTAAAGTAAAATCAAGCTGACACTTTTTTTTTTCAAATGCATGATGATTTAGACTTTGCTTGAACTCTCACAGTTCTTGGGAAGAATGGGTACAGCTTGCTTTCAAGAAATTCTATGTTGGTTAAATATGCTGGGTCTGTATTCAATGTTCTCTCACTATGTATTCTCTTGTGCTTTAATTTTAACAATCTGCATTTTTTAACATCTTTTGTATTCAACCTGATGTTCAGCTAGTCTAGAGAAAATCTCTGACTGCCTAGTAACTGAAATCACCTTTTTAAACCAAGCTCTTGTCCTCCCTCTACAGGAGAATTTGCAGCGTTCAAGTAGCCACAGCACCATGGCAGCACCCACTCTGTTATTTAAGTCTTGTGTTCCTACAGTTTCTTAACATCAAAACTCCATTCTGCTCCGCCAAACCTAAAATAATTTAGAAAAGATATCCATAAGCTTAAAAGTGGAGCAGAATGGAACTGCCAGTCCAACACAATGGGAAAAAGTACCTTTTTGGGAACCAGAGTCCTCTGCTGCCAGTGTTTCTCCTTCAACACAAACCACCACGTGCATTCGGAGACCCGCAGTGGCTGCCTGTGCTGTTGGCATCATTCCCAGGAGAGAGGAGAGGGCGCTCGTGGTTTGACTGTGGTGCTCGGGCATGAGGGGATGGAACTGCTGCTGCAACTTAGGAGACTTGCTTTGGATGGTCTGCCGGTCGGCTTTCTCCCTCTAACAGTGTAACCATCAGAGGCTGAAAATCTGATGAGTGCTAATTTAAAAGAACCATTCTCCATTCTGATCCTTTTTTTTTCCTGGTGTACTTACTGATTTATGGACAATGCAGTATCCCCTTTTCTCTGTATTACAGTGTCAAACACCTCAATCTGTCTATATTATTGGGTTTTATTCTTTTAAAATTAAAAGTGTGGGGCATTGGGAACTGGAGAAGATGTTATTCTGAAGGCGAAGAGGTTCAGCTGAAGGAAAAGGGGATGCTGCTGCACCTTTTTTCAGATTTACTTTACCACTTCTTAAAAAGAACAAACAACGACCACCATCCTTAACCTTTTTCCTTTTCCTGTATTTTCTTGGTGTGTGCATATACAACATCTTTTAGAAGGATTAAGTAGATCCTTCTTTTGTTGGTCCAGCAACAAACTGAAGTTTTAAAAAAAAAATGTAGCGATATTGTCCTCTCTTTTATTTTTTCTTTGTATCATATGATACAATGTATTTATCAAAGATGCTACTGCAGCATCTGAAGTCTGTAGAGTTCCCGATACAGACTGTGAATGGTGTATGTACCTACTTTAAAAGTTTTATTTTAAATGAGGGTGCAGGTTAATGCCAGGTACCTTACCAATATGTAATGTTTTCGTAAACGGGGAAAAAAGTTCTCAGGTTGAATTGAATACAAATACAAAACCCCCTAGAATTAGACATTCCAAAAATTATGTTTTGGTACTTTCAAGAGCTTTTTTTAGAGGATTTTTATCCTGTTAACTAAACGTCCTCCGATAAGTGTGTGTGTAAATGTGGAGCATCTTGTCCTAGTGGCAAGTTGTTAGATCAAAACAAAACGGTACTTGCTGGATCCACGCTGACTACTTCTCCTCTCATTGTTTTCCTCCCTGTCATCTTTTCCCTTCCGTTTGTCTTTCCCTTTTGTACACTTTGCAAACTAGGATGAAGGTGGCGGTATCTCCACTAGACTGCTTTGTTTTCCTGTCCTCCAATCCTGGTTTTCAAATGGTTGGTAGCTTTTTGACAAGTTACCCAGTCAGGGAAAAAACAACTCATAAAGTTCTGCACATCGTTTACCTCTAGTAGAATATCTTGTGATGTGAGCTGTTTGCAGAGTTCTCTGGTATGTGGTATTACCTGTAAATTATTTGTACAGAGGCAAGGCAGACCATGTTGGAAAGAAACTCAAGCTCAGACAGAAGTTTTCAGAATTTGATTTGTTTTGGCCCTGTACCACTGCAGGTGAGGCAGGAGAACCGACCCCCCCTCTGGCAGGAACGTTCCTGCTTAGACGTGGTGGGGGATGTTAAACAAAATCGTGACAAATAAATGAAGGAGTTAAATGTGTGTGAATGTGGTGTCCGTGCTAAAGATGGATGTACTGGGTGAGGACACTGTCCTTCCCTCCCTGGGGAGAGTTGGACTGTTTCTGTCTGCAGAAGGTTGCTCCCAGGTGAAGGGGGAAATGCACATCGGTAGTGGAAGGCGCTTTTAATACCCTGGAATTCTGCGGTGTTGCTGGTAGTCTGTTATGTTTGTCAGTAAATATTTACTGGGGTTATAGGGACCGGACTAATCTGAAGTGGGAATTATAACTGAAATACTGTGTATTCATATTAATTCCACAAACATTAGCAAGACAGCAATAGTGAATGACTTAATAGTCACTACAAGAATGAAGTGATTCATGTTGGTACATGAACAGAAATGATTTTGTGTACAGGACGCATTTTAAAAACAAACAAAAAAAAAGCACAAATTTTTTCTTGTCTGCCGTGGATCTTCAGATGCTGTAAGGTTTTTTCCTTATTGAGATTGGCAGCAATTTAAAAAGTAGCAATAGCCACTTTCTAGTGTGGAGAAGCCAATGTGCAAGTGTTGGTGAAGACTGGTGAAGTCAGAGTTCTCCCTGGTGATCATCTGAGGCCAGTACATAGGAGGTGGAGGGAGCCTGGGGCCACTGGTGTCAGCAGGCAGGTGAGAGCATTCACCAGATACAGGCTCCCAGAGGGTGAAGTAGTCACTGCTTCTCCTTTCACCCAGTGCTTGGCTCCAGCCCTTCTGTGGGCTCTGGCCTCATTTGTACGTGTCAGGCATACTGGAAATTATTGTTCTCTTGGAAGAAACTGTTAATGGAGCAATTATGGACAGGTGGTTCAACAGTCATTTGTTTCACAGAGCTTGTTAAAAGCCCTAGTTTCCTTCCACAAAGTCATGCTGGCAGAAGATTGTCTGTTAGGAACTTTGTTCTGTCTTTGCTTAAAATGAACTTACTTTGGTGGAGATTCATTACCCATTAGTCTACAATATGCTTCTTGAGCCCATAGGAAAAGCACAAGGAAAATTGCTATCCTTGTCCATGCAAAGCACTTTATAAGTAACACATGATCTCTGGGTTGTTTTGGGTTGTTTTTTTCTTTTTTAACTGGGGTTTTTTTGTAGTTTTGTTTTTCATTTTTGTTTCTGGTTTTGGTATGATTTTTTTTCCCTGAGGAATGTGCAAGTTGTTTGGCTGCTGTTTAGATAAGTCCTTTCAGGATGCATTTCTACTGGTTTTCATGTTTGTTTGTTTCCCTCCAGATAAGTGTAGTAATATGTGTTTGTCTGTAAGAGGTCCCACATAATGTTCATGCAAAATGTTGGAAGAAATGTGGTTTGTAAATAATTGGGATTATTTTTGGTTTTATCTTTTCCTTCAGGAGTTTTTCTGGATGTCTTGCATGCCATCATAACCAGTCTTAAAGGTGCCCTGTAGATGTTTAGTGAATGGGGAAACGAGTAGATGAGAAATGAGTGCCCTGTGTAGCAGTGGGATGAAGGAAGTAAACTGAAATGATCAATACATTCATGCCCATTACCCCAAATTCCTTAAGCTTCTTCGTGGTGTCCCAGCAACAAGCACATTCCATAGTATGGAAATGTTAGTACATATTTTGTGTGCACATGTTGGGGCATACGTCAGTCACACAGCTTCTTTAGGCTCTACAGTATCCAGTATTTAATAATTATTTGCAAAAGTACCAGTATCCAGTCCCAGCTATTCATGTCTTTATCAACCACACATAGACCTTCCCCTCTGCCTTTCCTTTTTCATACAGTTAGATGAGGCCTGTTATCTGTTACATCTTCCCTGTCAGTATGTGTTTGTTTCCTGTGTCGTATTTGCTGGAACTGGAACAGTGTAGTGGAGCTTAAACCTGATGGTAGGAGTACAGAGATTGGGGTACTTTCAGAGTAATTTCTGCATGAATTAAGTCACACATGGCCCCAGATAAATTAACCCATTCATTTCATTTTTGCTAAACTCATGCAGGTCATTAAATGAATTTACTTCTGTGTTTTATGTTTACCTAAAATTATCTCTTCTTGTACTTGAATGCTCTAGCAGCTGATGATGATGCAGAATGTTTGAGGCCAAGTACTGCCATCTTACCATGGCCTCTCAGCATTACTTGGATTAGAGAATTTGGCCTTTGTGACATAAAAGTGAGTAAAATGCTGACTGTTGATAAATACCATGTCGTTCCACAAATGCCCAAATTGGGGGAGATCACTGAAGATCACGCATAAATAGGTTTTCTTCTGTCTTTTCCTGGTGATGTAAATGCATCCGGCATTTTACAGAATGTTTAAGGAAGCCAGATCCCCAGACATCTCACAAACAAGTTCAAATTGAAGCTTTAATAGCTGGAGGGGCTACATTTAGGGAAGAAGCATGTAGACATTTCACACTTTTGCAGCCTCTAGATTTCATTCCCTTCTTGACTATGAGTACAGCATGTGTAGCACAAACCCTTCATAGTACTGTATACAATGTGTCTTCTCTCTACTGAAGGAATCTATCACCGATAGCTCAGTGTGACAGAAAAGCTTTCTAGGTACAGTCAAGTTAAAAAGCAGTTGTGTGAGTTGACTCTTAGGGCATCACTCTGAAGGTGCTGAGTATTCTTTTCTGTTACGCATTTTACACAGAAGTTTATGAAACAAACTTTCTGTTTGCTGCAGCCTTGTTACTGTGTGTTTGTAGTTAGTATTTGTTTTGATATGCATTTTAAATACTTTTCTTCACTGATTCATTACTCCATACCAACTGTGTAAAGTTTAACAAAGGCAAGTGCCGGATTCTGCACCTGGTATGGGGCAACCCTGGATGTACACACAGAGCGGGGAATGAGAGGCTGGAGAGCAGCACTGCAGAAAGGGACCTGGGGGTCCTGGTCAATGGCAAGTTGAACATGAGTCAGCAGTGCCCTGGCAGCCAGGAGGGCCAACTGTGTCCTGGGGGGTATCAAGCAAAGCATCGCCAGCTGGGTGAGGGAGGGGATTGTCCTGCTCTGCTCTGCACTTGGGCGGCCTCACCTTGAGTACTATGAGCATTTTGGGGCACCTCAATATAAAAAAGACATTGGGCTATAAGACAGTATCCAAAGGAGGGTCATGAAAATGGTGAAGGGCCTTGAGGGGAAGCCATATGAGGAGTGGCTGAGGTCACTTGGCTTGTTCAGCCTGGAGAAGACTCATTACAGTCTTCAATATCCTCACAAGGGAAGAGGAGGGGCAGGCACTGATCTCTTCACTCTCATGACCAGTGACAGGACTCAAGGAAACAGCATGAAGCTGAGTCAGAGGAGATTGAGGTTGGATATGAAGAAAAGGTTCTTCACCCACAGGGTGGCTAGGCACTAGAACAGGCTTCCCAGGGAAGTGGTCATAGCACCGAGCCTGACAGAGTTCATGAAGCATTTGGACAATGCTCTCAGGCACATGGTGTGACTCTTGGGGTGTCCCACACAGGGCCAGGAGTTTGATTCAGTGATCCTGATGGGTCCCTTCCAACTCAGCATATTCTGAGATTCTTGCCTAGTCAATAAAACTATCAGCAGAGCAGAGCAAAGTTGTTAAAATTCTTTCTTTGCACTTAAGTTTCAAGGATGCTAATACAGAAGCTACTAAGTCAGCACTGTGACAGCAGTAAGTAACTATAAACCTGTGGAAGGAGGAAACTTTAAAAGCTGCAGAATATAGAGTACATCGAGAGTGACTTCAGATGAAAACTAGCATATCTCTTTTCTTTAGAAAAGAGAGCTACCAAGACCATCTGTTAAAGTGTTTACATAGGGACCCCAAAACAGTTTTTGTAGTTTGCCAAATGATCATGTGCCTTTGCAACCTTAAAAAGTACAACAGAATGTAAACCAGGTGCTTTGTAACTAGAGCAGTGTCTTTGGTTTACTTCTGCTGCAGTAGTTTTGTATATAGCTATCACTATAGGTAGGTAGTTTCGAGTTGGTAAACTTCTGTAAAGGAGCAAGGAGGGCAGAGCATTCCCTAGGATACCTATTAGCATTTCAAAGGTAGGAATTGAAGGATACCTAATTCAGTTACAGTAAACCTGCTGCTTGAAATCTGCTCTGTCAACAGTTAAATGAGGTTCATTCAATTTAAAAACAAGCCCTCCTCCCCCTCCACAGACACAGAGACCTTGTCAAAGAAAAGTAATAGAAAGCTCTGAAGAGACCCAAAGTTACAGTGTTATAGCATCTTGGAATGAGATGGTAGATGAAAAATGAGAGCTAGATGAAGAGAAATTGATGGCTAGTACTCACGTAATGAAAGTCCACATATATCATATAATCAGTTCCCTGTTCCAGAAAGTGCAGTAAGTTTTGTTTTCTGGAATATTAGGTTTCCTCAGTTCTTCCTTGGGCCTCCTGCAGTTGCTTTTCAGTGATCACATCCTGTTGTTGCACATTAACTGTGGGAGATGGTAGGTGTTGTGTCAGCTGAGGGACAGCCAGTATGTGTGAATTTGATTAGTTCAAATTTCAAACTGATTACATAGGCTTCTGGCAGTACTTACATACCAGTGTCATATTTAACCTACTTGTCCATGAGGGACAAAATAATGGTTTGGGTATTAGTGCTTTTTCAGATCTTTTCATTTTCTTTGGGGCAAGACTTTGGGCATAATTGTAAATTATAAAGTTATGTCCAAATGCACAGTTCATCTGAAATATCAGACCAATTTTAATTTAGGTTTGTTCCTTTTAGAAAGGAAAGTGTAAAAATGTTTTACTCATGTTCCAGGAACTATCTGGAATCCTTCTACCTACCCCAGATTCTGTACCAAAAGTACATGTGAGGAGGTAGTTATTTTCTTGGGTTTTTTTTATTTCTTAAGAAAATCTCAAAGAAACTCTTTCCGTAAGAGAAGGGAGCTGATGGGAGGGTTTAGAAACTTCTAAACTACCTAGGTATTTGCTTCATAGTATCCAGCAGCAGTGTGTTCTGTTCATCCAGTCTCCTTAAGAGCCAACAGTGGCCTGTCCATCATTTTGTCTAGTTTGTCATGTTTGCAGCAGCTGTACTTTAGAATAAGCCTTGTGTGACATTTACTTTTGAGCAAGTAAACCACAAAAGTAACTCTGTTTTCTTTTTTTGTTTTCTTTTTTTTTCCTTTTTGTTTGGGTTTGGGAAGTGGTCAGGTTTTGTTTTGCTAAATGTCATTCTGTGTTGCATTTGTGTATTCACCCTAGTTGAAAAGAAAATCTATCTGAGTGTGTGGGAGTTCAGTGGAAAATTAGGAGAAGAAATGAAGCCCATCATCTGGGCACGGATGTTGGGTCTGAGGGGGAAAATGGACCAAACTTGGGTGTTGGGTTATTTTGGGATGGTGGGGGGTTCCGAGGGCATAATTTAAATTAACTCTGTCTAAAATGTGTAAGTGCAATAAATGTGCTTTTTTTATTCAAAGCTGTGAACCTTTAGGGGAAAAAAAAAAAGAAACAAAAAAAATCAACCAAAAAAAAAAGCACATCATTCCTTCATGAGCCTTGTGTCCTATCTGCCTCCCCTTCCTCCCCCCTTCTCCACACTTCTCAATTGACAGAAACCTGACAGTGGCCAACTTGCATGTGTTGGCAACCCAAATTAATGTTTGCTGTTCTTCTGATCTCATTTGTTGGGACTGGGGAAAGTCCTGCCTCGTACATCTTGCCACCCTTGAAATCCCTTTGGGATCCAGTGCTGACCTGTGCCTCTAGAGCAAGGTCTGCCACAATCTGGGATGCCGGAGCCAGCCCTCCTGCGCCGTGGTCATCCTGACTCCAAGTGCAATGCTCTTCCCGACCCTTTGTCCTTCAGTTGTAACTCCCCTCCCACCTCATTCTGGGTGTAGTGACCATCTCCCAGGGCTGGGCAGGTGACATTATTCTTGAACAATTGCAGAAGTAATCAGCTATCATGCCTAATTGGATCCTCTTCCCCTGTCCAAACACACATGCAGGCTGGCCACTGTTGCCTTCTGTGACTCTGCCTTGTTCTGCAGGAGCAGGTGTGGGTGTGTGTGATCTGTGGTGCATTACTTGCACTGTCTCTCTGTCTCACTTGAGCACAGGCTGCTTTTCCTAGATTAGGAAAGGGGCACAGGTCTCTTGGGGGTTCCCAGGAGAGGCACGATGCACTGAGCAATGACAGAAGGTGTAGCACTCAGTAGTTGGACCCTCTGGGGGAGTAAGGGAGGACTGGCTTGTTTAAAGTTTATAGATATCCAGATCTATATCCTTTAAACTTTATTATTTTTATATATAGTCAAGACAATGGCATTACCTCATAATACAGAGGCTTGTTTATGAGAGGCAAAGTATGTAGTAAGGAGAGGAAAGGGAAATTTATATACAGATTTAATTTCTTCTGTTTGTTTGTTCCTTAGTGCAATGAAATGTTTGACCCACCACTTTAAACTCTGTGCTAACACATTCCTTTCAGCTGTATTTTTTTTTGACCACCAGAGGTTTGCAAGGGGCTTATGACTGCAAAGTAGAAGGTCCAGTCTGGTTACTTAAAAAAAAAAAAACAATTGTGTTAGTAGATTTCCATAGCTGCTTTTTAAAATCTACAATGGAGTAATTGTTTTGAAACTTGTATTTATTTTTTAATTCGTAACAAAACGTTTATTTTCGGTTTCCTGTTACGTAGGTCATGACAACTCCCTTTTGTTCCTTCTCAAGTTTCCCCTGTAATTGCCAATACAACTTATTTTTCTTGTTTGTTCCTTCCCCCTTTACTTTTGTTGTCCCTCCATTTGTACTTTGGAGTTTTTCTCATGTAAATTTGTACAATGGGAAATATTGTCCAGTTTGGTTAGAGAGCATGGAGACTTAAAACATATTAAAATTTGATAGCTGAATTCAGATTGAAGAAAACTATTTCTGTGTAAAGTTATTTAAAGAACTCTGTATTATATGAAAGGCAAAAAGTTCTATGTACTTGATGTGAATATGAGAATACTGCTATAATAAAGATTGACTGCATGGAAAAGTCTGAAGTAGATTGTTTATTGTGTCATGTTCAACTCCTCCTCTCCATGAAGTTGGAGAGGTGCAACTAAGGTAGTTAAGGGGAGTGAAAAAGTTACTCTAGGATGTAACTCTGGAAGGGAAAGAGAAGGAAAAAAATAAAATCAAGGGATGCCACCTCCCTTCAGCTTCCTTAAGCTGGACCCCTGCCTCCTTGACTGCTGGGCTGAGCCCTAAGGCATTTTTACCTTTACAAAGGGTTTTGCTTCACAAGGATTATTCTGGACTTTTATGTACTCAAGGGCGATTCCCCATCACCCTGGGGAAAGCCTGGCACCAGCTGGTCTGGGTTCTCTTCTGGGTAAATTCCCCTGCTTCTGTGGCAACTTCCCTTCACTCTTTTATTGGTTATTTGACAGAGCTTTAATGATAAGACTGTTACCTACTATGCACTCACAGACCTTATTTCTTGGGGCCAACACATTCTCTATCAAGCAGACATTACAGAAGCTCACATGGACTCAAGTACCCCACCTCTGAAGCCGCAGTGGTCATTCTCCAGAAATTCTACTTAAAAAAAAAATACAATTTAGCTGAGACTTTGTTTACAGTTTTATTGAAATAAGGACCCAGGAGCCAAAACTTTGGTTCCAAGAGCCTCATTAGTTCCAGGGACCTGAAAGTAACAGAAGAGAATCCTGAGAACCTTTTCACCCATCCTTTTCCCACCACGAAGAGCAGAAGGACCCCCTCAACAGTGCCCATGCTGCCTTTGGCAGTAGTTGAAGCTGTTGGTTTTAGAGCTGTAATACGTGACACAACAGCTTAAAAGACAGGGTAATTAAAGAACTGGAAACAAGCAAAAGCCTCAAATCTTTAAGGGGACATCTGGACAGATCTCCCTATAAACACAAAGAGCATGCCCTCAAGGTTAGGTAATGCTGGGTCTACAGAACAGCTTAAAGAAAATAATTTTGAACTGGTACCAGCTAAGGTACAACTCATAAAAAACCAAGTTGTTACACTGCAGGTCTCGAGCACTCGGGCGCCTGAGACAAGGCAGCGATGAACAGTGCAAACACCTGCGCCCTGTACCACAGAAACTGGGCACGTTTACACCTCGGGCAAACACTTCCAGCAGTATTCTTACACCAGTGCTCGAATACTCGCTGAAAGCAGGGCACCTCTGGCGGTGCCAGCAGGAGGCAGAGCCGGGCACGGTGCCCCGGGGCTGCACCGCAGCTCCGAAGGCAAAGCCCAGCCCGGGCCGTGCAGGGGGGGCGGCGGGAGCCGTACCCGTGTGCTGCCGGCCCCCGCGGCTGGACGCGCCTATTCCTCGTCGTCCGGAGGAATCCCGAGCTCCTCGTCCGTCCAGGCCGAAGCGTCGGGATACGGGAAGTGTCCCTGGGAGAGAGGCGCGGTCAGAGCGCAGCCGGGGCCCGACCCCGGCTCTCGCCCCCCCCGCCGCCGCCACGCCGGACTCACCAGCACCATGTCCGAGCTGTGCCAGAAGTGCCAGAGTATCCAGAACCACATGAGGCCGCTGAGGAGCTCGCTCCGGATCACCTGCGCCCGCGTCAGCTCCGGGACCTGCCGGTACCGCGGCGCGATGTGCACCCCGCCGCCGCCCGCGCTGCAGCACACGCAGGGCCCCGCCTCAGTACGGGCCCCGCCGGCAACCCCCCGAGCCCGCCCCGCTCCCCCGGCACCCCCCCAAACCCGCCCCGCTCCCCCGGCACCCCCCCAAACCCGCCCCGCTCCCCCGGCACCCCCCCAAACCCGCCCCGCTCCCCCGGTACCCCCCCAAACCCGCCCCGCTCACCGCCGCCGCCCCGGCGCGGCCACCCCGGCCCGCAGCAGCCGCGCCGCCGCCGCCCGGCCCAGCGCCGCCACCACCATGTCCGTGCCCAATGTCACCCGCACGGCCCAGCAACAGCCGCGCCCATTGGAGCCGCCGCCGCCTTCCGGGGCGGGGACACCGCGGGGCGGGGATATCCCGGGGCTCGGAGGCTCCGCGGGGCACAGGGATATCGCGCCGCTGTCCCCGCACACCTGCCCTGCCCAGCACTCGGGAGCGGCGCGGCGGCACTAACCGGGGGCTGCCCGTGAGTCCCACAAGTTGCCGTCGCCCACGGAGGTCGAAGAGCGGGGAGACTTCCCCGGCCAAATCGCCGCTTTTGGGGCTCGGGGAGAAGGCGGCGCCGGCTGCTGGTCTCTAAGGAAGGGGCTAAAAGGAGTCAGGCGGCCGTGTGTCCATCCCTGGGCGCCCGGGGTGGTCCAGCCCGCGGAGTGCGGTTGCGTAGCAACGGGGCACGCGCGCGGTGTCTCCCGCCCTGGCGGGGCCGGGATACGGGGATTCGCTCTCGGTGTCGGGATGTAGCCCGAAGCGTTCCTGAAGGGGCGATAGCCCTGAAGGAGCACCAGGTGCGGAGCCTCTTCCCGCCCCGTGGCCCGGCAGGGGGAGCGCAGAGGCGATTTCCGGGGCTCCTCAGCACAGATACACCTAATAAAGAATTCCCACCTGTCCCGCCTCAGCGAAGGTCCGCCCGTGTGAGGGGCTTTTGTTGTTCTTTCCTTTTTCCCCTTCCCGCAGGTGTTGCAGTGGTCAGTGCTCACTCGGCAGCGCCCCTGGAGCTGCAGCCTGGGTTCGATCCCTGTGCCTTGGGAACGTGGCATTGGAAGAACCAGCCTGCCGGTGGGTGTATCTACTGGAGGTCCGTTGGGTGAATCTGGTTGGAGGAATTCTGCCAACTTCTTGTGGAGAACCAGTTTCATTCAGTAGTACGTGTGGTATGCCTCCTGGGACATCCAGGTGATCCCCAAAGAAGCAAAAAATAATGGAGAAAGTAGCCAGACTATCAGAGGGGTCCTTTCAAGGAATCAGACTCCCCCCTACTCCTCCTGACAAGGTATGCTGCTAATGTAAGATTGGTCCATACTTGTTAGTTCCTCCTGAATCTTTACTGGATGACGTTTAACAAAGGTGAACTGGGGAAGAGTTTCTGTGACCCTCTGAAAGAGTAACTTTGTTTTACCTGGCAGCTTGTGAACAGAGGAGTCTGTGGATAAAGATTTTAAATAGGTTTGGCATCTCTGTGCAGGCTGCACCTGACATCCCAAGCTGGCATATCCAGCCTTCCAGTTGTATATTACCTGTACCTTTCCTCCCCTGCTTGGGAGGAAAGACAGTGCTTTGTGTAGCCCCTGAGCAGAAGGCATTGTTGCCAACACTTGGAGTCAAATTTGGGTATATCTTGCTCTGGCTCCATTTACTTTTACGGGGAAAGATTTGCCTGTGAAGTGATTTCATTGAACTTTACAGACCAGCACTTGAAAAGACGTGTTTCTGACAGGTGCAGGGTGAAGGTCCCAAGGAAAGAACAAATGCCTCACTTAGGTTTTCCATCTTCCTTGCTAGTGACTGTACAGCTTTGCCTACAGCCAGTGGACCCCGATTCACAGATTTTGGTGTTGTTTTATCCTTCACCTTGAGTGAAGGATATCGAACACTGTATTTTAAATAAGTAACATAATCTCATTTTGTTAACATCCCAAACAGCTGACATCCTCAGCTGAAAGAGCAGTGGACATCTTTGTAGTTAAGCGATTTTAATTTCCTTGCTCATCTGAGCCTCAGAACAGCCCTAATGCACTTTCAGCAACAGCTAACAGAGCAAACTGTTCAATCTTTGTTTTTACTTAACATGTGATCAATGCAAAAACATGCTGCAACATGCTCCATACCAAGTTTATGTTTTTCTGTAAAAGCTGAACGCTTTGATATAAGGTTCACAGTTTTATTGTCAACTCTACCTTCCAACTGCCTCGTATTTTGTCTTTCTGCCTTCTCATTGTCCCTGGCATGTTGTTCCCTGTGTCACCATTCTCAAACGTTTCGTGTTTTCCATCTTGCTCGGGCCAGATGTCTCCAGTGCTGCCTTTGACCTGCAGAGGCATCTTTGTCTCCCTAGACTCAACCCCCACCTCCTTCATTCTTCTTTGACTTCAGGTCCTTTCACTGACCTTTCAGCTCTTGCTGGTTTGGGGAGCTTGGACAGCTGCAATGCACACGTGGCCACTGCTGCCCACGCTGCTGTTGGAGAGCTGGGGCAGAGGGCCTGGGAGGGAGCCAGCAAGATTGATGTGCCTGCATTGCTGAGGAGTACCTGCTCCTGGGGGTGGGAGAGGCAGCTCCAGGACCCCCACCCTCCCTCTCTTCTGCTGCCTGTCTCCGAGCTGTGCCTTGTCCCGAGAAATGGGTGTCTTTTCCAGGTTCAAAGCTCTTTACTAAAATCAGTTAACTAAAAGGTGTAAGGATTAGTAAGAAAGTAAAGCTATTCCGATTTAAGAATTGTAAGAAAGTAAAACTATTCTGATTCAAGAATTGCATACCTAGTGCCCCCTTCACAGTAGAATAAAACTGTTATAGGATCTGAAATGGGCCAAAATGGACACCTACAATAGTGTCCTTGAAATGACACGTTGTCCTTTGAACAGCATATCTCATACTGACTGAAGAAACAGTGATACCCCTGCTACATACCTAGCAGATGATTAGAAACCAGATGCAACACAAGGGGGGGTTTATCATATAGTTCTTATGTTTTATTTTTTAATATTTCTTCTTTCCAAAATTGATTTCTCAAAATCAAAACCATTTGTGGTGAACCTACAGATAAGCAGCATAGTACTACAAGATATGGTGGAAGAATTATAGAGAGAAGTAATGTACTGAAAGTAAACTTTATGAACAATATTCCAGTTTAAGGATGTAAGTGTTCAAAAATCATGCTCATTTTCTGCTTCCATCTCCTCCTTCCCCCTTCCAGGTAAGATCCAGGTCCATCTCACATGTCCAGTGTTGTCACACTAATAAAGATTTCCATGGCTCTCTGCTGCCAAGATGTCCAATGACATAGTAAGTTCAAAATCTGTAGATGAGCTACTGGAAAAGCAGAGAAGAGAAAAGCTGGGAATCAAAGACAGTTATTGCAGGGTGAGGGGTGTGCTCCATATTGATTTAGTTTGTTTTTATTGCAGTAAGTTACAGAAGTTCTGTTGCCAAGGTCTTTATTACTTCTTGTATTTTTGTTTTCCACAGCCTTCCTGTTTGCACATGGAACCCAGGTCCTCTTTGTGCACCCTTGATATCCTCAGCAAAGAGTAATTTCATTGATTCATCCCCAGAGGTGTCCAGTTTAGTGAGGGGGGCTCGTGTGTTGGCAAGGAGAGAAACTGATGGCTATTACTACCTGGGCCACATTGCCCAAGAGGTGAAGGTAACTATTTATTGGGAACTGTGCTGCAAGGACATCTGTGGGTTTTTTCCCTATTGTCCTCATTCCTCACCAGTCACGTGCCCTTGTGGGGTGGCTCTCCTGTGATACAGTGCACTTCACAACCACTGTTGTTTCCCCACATCCTATTTTAATCTGTTACCTGATCACCTGATGCTGACTGGCTGTTTACTGTGAGGAACCCTGCAAGAAAAAGGAGCCTGGAGATCAATCCATTTTTGTAGTTATAATAAGGTTTTATTCAGAAACAAACAGAACAGGTCCCTTATCCCTATTGTCTACTTTTGCCCAGTCTAGCAGCAAAGTCAGTTAGCTAAATAGCAACTAGTAATCCAAAATGTCTGTCTCCAGGCTTCACTTCCTCTTTACCAAACTGAGAGCTTTCCTCATTCTCTCCCATCTATCTTTTGGAAATTGCGGGGTGATTTTGGATGCCAGACAGAAAATTGCCCTGCAGGCTTTCTTTTAAAACCCAGTTCATTTTGCTGTTTGCAGGTTATTTAGCTGAACTTTGATGCTAGTGTAGGTGAGAATGTCTGTAAGCTCCAGTGTGGGGTGGAACAGATGGGGACAGTTACAGGCACGAGTGGCATGACTGGAGTAGGAGCTGAAAGTATTATTTGAGTAAGTGCACTCACAAATCTGCAGACAAGGCTGAGATTTCAGTAATAGATCTTCCCCACACCTGCTGCTGAAGGCTTAAATTAAAACATTTCAATTTTTGACAGTTATGATATTTTACTGGTTTGTTACCCTTCTGATTGCTATGTAGACAACTGCATCATGCACAGCAATTTCTTTTGGCTACTCATTTTCTTATGGGAGGTTTTCCTGGTAAAGTTCTGCCTTAGCACGCTAATTGTGTTCTTACTAAAATCTAAATGCAAAGGAAGAGAAAGGCTGTCAGCCCCTTAAACCCCAGCATTTTATTTACTTTTAAATCCAATATGGACGCAGTGCAGTGAAAAATCTGGTAGAAGAGGAAAGCTGCATTTCCAGATCACGTCCTGTTTCCCGGGATTACTGCCACTTCCCTCTTAGCACTTAATGTTTGGCCGTTAATTGGACCCAGATGTCTGCCTTGCAAACCGCATGTTTTACTCTTGTAGGGCTCCAGGGAACGCTTTGTAATTGAGTTTGACAAAAGTCGTGCTCGAAAAGGCAAGGTACAGCTCCGCCTGCAGGAAACGCCTCTCTACGACATTCTCCACTACGAGGATGCCAGGAGACGGCGTCTCGCTCCGGGAGACAGGGTCTTGGCACCGTGGGAGGCTAGAGCTGAACGTTTTGGCCCCGGCACTGTGCTGAAGGTTGTGGAGAGCAAGGAGGCACATTTAGGTGCGGGGTGTTTTGGTTTTCTTCGTAGCGATGGACTCACCACGGGGGCTGGTCACTGTACGGGAAAGGGAACAGTCTCCATCCCGGAGAGTTCCCCACCTGCTGCTTGGGTTCTCTTCGCTGTATTCGTGTTGTTGACACTAAGCAGCCTGTTTTTCAGTGTCCGAATTAATGCAGCTCCTAGAATGTGTGTTTGCTTTGTTCTGTAACTGAAAACTTCCTAAAATATTGGGGGTTGGGCAACACAAAGCAAAAAATGTTCCTGGCCCTCATGAGTATTCACCTGATTATCTGTTAGTCTAGTTTCCTGCTATTTTAGGGTAAAATCCTGCCTCACTGTGACAAGTGAGAATTTTGTTATCTCCTGTCTCCTCATAGGAAGTTCAAAAGAAGGTCAGATTTTAAACCTATAAAGAAAAAAGATCATAGAAGTTGTTACAAAATTATCTGAAACATGAGTCATTACTTTTAACTCCAGCTTTCTGCTGCTAATACATTATTTGCCTTTTTGTTTTTGTTTTTGATAAGCACAGCACACAACAGAAGTGGAGTGCTTGTGAATTTCTGGAATGGGCAGACCAAGGAGGTGTCTTCTGACCAAGCTCTGCAGATTCCTCTGCCCTTAAGCGAACGCATCATCCTAGAACTGCAGATGCCTTTAGCAGCCAGGCAGATGGTGGTAGATTCAAGCTTACATTACCCATACATTGTGACACCGGGTTATAGAGCCTCAGGCCACTACAGACTGGGTCACTCAGACCTGGACTGCTGGCCAGGGGGTCTGTTCTCAGCTCATCTATGTGCTAAGTGCAGCTGGGAGTGTACCTCGCTCCCCCTGGCAGCCTGGGAACCCACACGGCCTGTAGGGTGCAAAGTGCAGCAGGAAAATGCCTTCATCCCAGGAACAGGCTTGGCTGAAGAAGTACCCAGCAAGAAAATAGAAGAGGAACTGTCTGAATTGAGAATTACATCTTCAGAAAGTGTTTCCAGAGAGGAAGAGAAAAAGGAAGAGACGGGATTAGAAACAGAAAATGTTCCAAAAGACGTTTGGTCTTGTTTGGAAGAGGACAATGAGTTTATAGGACCTAAGAAGGTAAAAAATGTTTCACTCTGGCTTTTCTGTCACTATGTGGTCTGCTATTTTTATAAATTTGCTTTGTTACCTGAAGTTTACTGCCCTTGGTACCAAAAACTTACTAGAGGTTTTAGGCCTGGCCCCTATATATGCCTGCTAAAGAATGGAGAGACTTTGCACTGTCTTCCTGATCCTTTGACCAGGGAAAGAGTTATAAGCTGTCATTGTCCCTGGCTGGAGCAGGCTTCTAGAATCTCTTCCATGGATGCAGAATATAAGAAGTGTTGCATAGCCCAGTTTCTCTACATCCTGCTTCTGTATGAAGGAGGTAAAGGCAGAAAAAAGTGTCAGACTTGGCACTGGATAAGGATTAAAGTAAGGGTTGCTCCACACCAAGACAGTCTCTTACATAATTCTATTAAGGTACTTCTCCACCCTGTTAGATGTGTCCCCTCTCTCAATCAAAGACCATAAGAGGCTTAAGTTATCCTCAGCAGTTGACTTGGTGCTTGTGAACAGGGCGAGGATCAGTAAGGAGGAGGTTCATGTGCGCCAGCTACTACCAAGCTTATCTCTGCAAGGGTTAGAATCCTGATTTCTGGCAGGTGCCAGAAACAGGACTGTCTTTCAGCCAGAGGTCCTCTGGCCTGATCTCTTTTTTTACCAGTTTGGACCCTTCCAAGCAGAAGTACTGCCAGTTTTAGGTCATTTGGAGGTGTAGACAAACCCACGAAGTGATCAGAAATTACTCTACCTAAGAGTTGTTTCTTTAGTAAAGAACTCCCCCAGGGTTTGTCTTTTTTGATTTTCTTAAACTTCAGTTACAACTTAGAATCTTCTGCTGCAAGTTCATGAAACTAACCTATTCTTTTCCTTATCAGGTCTGGATTATGAATGCATTTCTTGTTATTTCTAGGGTGCTCAGAGGGAGATGGCTCATGCTATGGTTGATACCGCCGTTAACACAGACAGCTGGTTAATGGAGACAGATCACAAGGAGGAACCAGAGAGCAGGCAGCAGGATGCTGAAACTGAAGCTAATTTTAAACACGAGCATGGTAGTGGAACTGTAGCTCTTTTACCCAAATGTAACACTTGCCACACAATATCACTGCAGCAGGTCATGGTGTCTTAAGATCTGTTGCCATAAATCTTGATGCTTCAAAAGGAAATGCCATAATGCCATGCTGTGACTATGGCCATCATTATGTAGTATATTTATATGTAGGTATTAATAGTGCTTTAGCTTGAGAAGTTGTTCATCGTCTCAAGGTGAAAGAATTTTCAGATGGAAATCAGGTTTTTTTGGCTTTTACAGCTACTGCACTAGCAGCTTTTGGGTTTTCTTAAACTTTATCATAACACCCAGTATAAATACTATTTATTATAAAATTTCTTTACTTTACAAATTCACCAGGACTGTTCTGCAGAACACTTTTCTTATCTGTGCTGAAAACTATTGCTTGTCATTGAGTAACCTTTTGTTCCCTTAACATCCAAAAGGGGCTGGATCACAATTTTAATCAAAGTGTTGCTGTTCTCATTTTTAGTTTTGTGACAATGGCAGGCATTTAAGTGAGGATTCTGAAAGCCTAAAGCTTTCTCTGTTGTTGCTTTGTGACACTGCTGGTAGAGGGAGAATGAAAAGTCACACGGGGTGCACGTTTCCTCCCAGCTGGTGTTCCAGCATCGTTCCATGCAACAGCTGCCACTCAGGTCCGTGGTCTTTAGCAGAAGGGTGTGAACAAACTCTGCTCATGTTCTCAGCTACCCAAAAGCTGTGTTAGCACAGCGTTGTGCCCGAGCTAATGTCTCCTGTCTCTCAGCAGGATGTACAGCTCAGGCTTTGCCCTATCAAGAGATTTATCATTTTCACTCAGAGCAGCCCATGTCTGTGAAATACCACATAAACAATCTCTTAGCTTGAGTAGCTGTAAGTGCAGTCAAAAGTCCTGTGTTACCAGGCAAAACTCTTCCCTGACTGCAGTAGCAAGCTTGTTTCTGGCAAGAAGCTGGGACCTGTTTTGTGAAGTCTAAAAATTTTCCCTCAGAGGAAAATGTTATAAAAGTCTTTCTTACTTGAATATATTTTATACGAGAAGACCTTTTGTTCTTTCAACTTGCTTTCTTTTTATAAGCTTCCTATATTCTCATATGTCCTTGCCCTAATTTATTTGCAAGGTCTTTTTGAGTCCAGAGTGGCAGAAGCTCCAGTCCAGCATTCCCTAAGGAGCCCTTCCCTGGGAACCAGTGCTTTGGTTCCTTTCAGGCGCCAAAGCTTCTTTGACCAAGTGAATCAATCGCTAGAGAAGGACAGCCTGACCATCAGATCAGCTCTACGTGTACAGAGACCACACAGTACCACCAATGTGCTGGCTAGGAGATCCACAAAACTTCTAAACCTTCTAAAACACAAAAGCATTACAGTAAGTATTTGGTCCAAGCCAGATTTAGCTCTCTCAGAATCAGGAGATTTGTTTATGTCGTGTGAGAATGTTCTTTCCTTTGATCTCCTGCAAAGGTTTTTGCTGCAACAAAAATTATGCCTATGTAGAATAATGGTTATGCATAAATAGAATCTTAAGGATTCCACTTGGGAATCCATGTTGTACAGGGCAGGGCACTTCTGGTATTTTTACTCAGCACTTTTGATAGAGTTTTTTTTATTTTAGATCTAATCTTTTCTAAATAAAACTCTCTGCCAGCTCTACTAGACAGCAAAAATCTTATTCCTCTTTTACAGATACCGAAACCAAAAAAGAGAAAGTCTGGATAGTCAGCTGAATCCCACAGCAGAGAGTGCATGTCAGGGCTGAGGTGCAACTTTGTCTCCTAAACCTTAGGCCAGTACTTTACCTGTTGGAAAACACCATTTTTTCACCTCCCACCTATAAAACACCTTTGATTCTCTCTTTGATCTCTCCCTCTGTATGTCATTAAACACAAACACCCACAAGGTACATTTTTTTGCAAGGAATAGCAATACACTGGAGAACAAAGCTGTTTACAGCTCCTGGGAAGCCATACAGATCAATATGTTAAGAGAAACCCATCAAAATGGTACGTGAGACTGGCAGGACCTTATTTGAAGGTCCTGTAGTGTTTTGTAGCTTGTGATATTAGAGTTGTCCACAGGAAAGAACTGGAGAGGTGGCATTGTGTTTGCAGAGGAGCAGCTAACAGCAGGAACATGCTAACTGCAGCTGGGAATAGGAGGAAGGAGAGGAAAATATTCTGTGGAAATTCTGTTCCAGCCCTAAACAGCTCTAGAAATGTAAACTCGAATGCATGTCTGAAGTTTTGGTGGTGTTTCCTTGCTCCTTCCCTCATACAGGGCACTGTAGGGAGTACAAAAGAAAGAAACAGTTCACTCTGGCTATGAAAAGGAGCCTTGTAGGTGCTCCTTCATATCCTTGCACAGCACAGTGCATTTAAAAACACAAATTAGCAGCATTGCCCAGCATTGTAATGCAGCCACTAGTGAAGAACACATCAAGACTGCTTGAGCATAAGTAGAAATCTCAGACAACAGATGAAGAGTTGCTACACCTGCAGAGAACTCCGGGAATATTTTGTGTTTGGTCAGAGGGGGGCAGGTATTTCTCTTTCTGATAAAATCTAATGAGGAATATGTAATATGATTTGTGGTCAGAACCTGGGTTTTCCATCCAAACACAAAGCTGACACAAAGACTGGGCAGTTTTAAGCATTGGCTCAACACCAGAACAACCAGAACATTGGATTTTCAGGTGCCCCTTGGTTGGTTAAGCCTAATGTTTTCTATAGGTTTTAGCATCATCCTCAGTGTGTTCATGGGTGGGGAGCAACTTCAGTATTCATGAGCCAGTGTAGCTTCCAGACCTCAAGAGTGACATAAGAACTAAGCTGTTCTGGTTTTGTGTGTTTACAGTTTGCATTAGAAAAATACACTGATGGGATTAAGGGTTCAGTTTGGCTTTTTTCCTCTTAGAAATCAATCCTTAATGGTGCATCTCAGGAGAGATGGAAAGAGATGGGCTTCGATAGAGCCAAGACTGAGCACGAAAGGAGGAAAGAGGAACAGAGGCAGCTGAAGAGGGAGCAGCAGCAAGAGGCAGATGGCATCCAGCACCAGCTGCATAAGGACAACCAGAGGTGATGCCTGGGAACTTACTGTTTTTTGTGGTAGATGCTGGAAGGTTGGTAACATCTGCTCCTTGGTGCTCTCCTTCAGTTTCTGAACATCACACATTGTGCTTTATGACAGACTCTGCAGAGGGGTCACAGTGGTTCCCTAGTGGGAATAAAAGTTGACTCTTGAGGTTTGTGGGAGCGGGTACACATGGACCCCGTAGCCTTTAGCGTTACCTCCAAGGGCAAATTCCCTTTGATCTTGTTCTCAGACAAAAGATCCTTTGGCCTCTCAAATCCTTGCTCTCTGGCCCACAGTCCACTTAAGCTGAGCAGGACCTTGCGTTACCCCCGTGACCCACTCCTTGCCTTCTCCTCTGTTGCCTCAGTGGCTCCACCAGCAGCACACAGCCACCCGGTTGTCTGGATCAGTCCTACAGCCCTGTCTGCACAATCTGTTTCCTTGATTCCTGGTCTTCAGGGCCAACAACACTTGGCCACACCAGGTTTATGTAGTCAGATGGACAGATGACTGCAGTTAGCTCACATCAGGTACCAGCCCATTTGGGAGTTTTGCTACCTCTGTTTTGGACACAGGTTTAACCCTCATAACCTAACAAAGGGTCCTGGAATATTAACTAAGCACGCATTGCCAGAATATCTGCTTTGTGTCTCATGCACTGTCTTTTTTATTGCTCTTTCTTTATGAGAAATTCGAGAAATTTTGTTTTGGAAACAGGCAACAGTTGCGTCAGAGAACATTGCAAGGGCTGGAGAAACAGCTGGAGCACAAAGAGAGAGCTTTGCAGCACATGGCACTGCTCCAGGCTGCTGGGGCTGAGAGGAGCAGGAAGGAATCCTCCTTTCAAGAGGAGGGGAAGAGGAAGGCAAGTCAGAGGCTTCAGTTCTTAAAGACACAGAGTTCACAGAGAGAGGAGTTGCAGGCAGAATGCAATGAAAGGAGCTTTGAACAAGAGAAAGAAAGGCTGGTAAGGGCAATTCCAGAAATTATTTTCCCTTGTGCTGTGTTTCCAGCAGTGGCACTGTCTGGAGTATTTGTCTTTCTCCTGTTTTATATCCAATAAAACTATATTTAGGGATTTAAAAAAGGGTAACATTTTTTTGACATGTGTATAAAGATGAAAGATGGGAAGTAACATTCTCCATCTCTGCCATAAAAGGAGTCTTTCTGCATGCAAGGAATGAATATCCATATATTATACCCATTTCTGACTTCTACCATAGAATCATAGAGCCATAGTATGATTAGGGACCTTGAAAGTCATCTAGTTCCAAACCCCTTACCATGGGCAGGGACATCTTCCACTAGACCAGGCTGCTCAGAACCCTCTCCAACCTGGCCTTGAACACTCTGTCAGGGATGGGGCATCCACAACTTTTCTGGGCAACCTGTTCCAGTGCCTCACCACCCTCACAGTAAAGAATTTCTTCCTCATATCTAATCTAAACTTACTCTCAGTTTAAAGCCACTTCCCCCTGTCCTATTACTACAAGCCCTTGTAAAAAGTCCCTCTCCAGCTCTCTTGTAGCCCCTTCAGGCACTGGAAGGTGCTCTAAGATCTCCCCAGGGCCTTCTCTTCTCCAGGCTGAAAACCCCCAATTCTCTCAGCCTGTCTCCATAGCAGAGGTGCTCTTGCTCTCTGGGCATCTTTGTCACCCTCCTCTGGATTTTGCTTCAGGAGGTCCCTGTCCTTCTTATGTTGGGGGCCCCAGAGCTGGACACAGATGAAAACTGAGGATGAAATTAGGCGTGAAAGCTGACTGTACAATTGTAAATATCTTTATGTAGGAGTTTCTGAGGAGTTTCTGCAGTCACGGCAGGAAATGTTGGAACAAGAACCACGGGAGCAGGACAAGCAACAAAACCAGCACCAGGCTGCCAAAGTGAGGGTGTTCCAGAGCGGAGACCGAAGATCGGAAGATGGAAAAAGAAGACCAAAAAATCCGTCACCTCCAGCAGTACCTCGGAGAACAGTCCCTTTTGCTGCTGCGGGCATCCCTGCTAGTGTAAGGAAGCTGCAGAGTAGGGGAGAGGCCCTCGAGCAGTTCACACACCTGGTCTTTGTCTTGTAGGTGTGACTCAGTGTGCTACAGTTGTGACAAGTGGAATTACAATTCCCAGAGAGGTCTTTAATCTCCCTTTCAATGCAGCCAGAGCGCATGTCCACTGCTCTGTGCTTTACATGCCTTTCTTTCTGGAGTTACTATTCTGGTTCACCAGCCTGGGCTTCAGGTAAGTACAGATCTTCTACTGTCAAGGTCTAGGTACTGCTTGAGATGTGTTGGCCACTCCTTTAGAGGAGGAATGACTTTTAGAAGCCCAAAATAGAAAGTGGTGTGGGGGTTTTTGTTTGGTTGGTTTTTGTTTGGTTTTTTTTAATGACAAGCTCCCCTTTCTAGGCACTGTGATGACAAAAAGGTCTGATCTGTGAAATAACTGTCTTTGGAGAGTCACCAAACCCAACGGTGGGCTTGGGTTTCTGTTTGGCCTACAGTCTCACTGGCAGGCTGGCAGTCTCCAAAGCGGGTCAGAAAGATGCTCGGATACCTTTTCAGGTAGGGCCCTTGCTTACAATAACCACACCTTTTGCTCTTTGTGAATAAATGAGGAGAATGTTACAAAGACAAATGAACTGGTAAATTGATGGTTAACAAAATACAGTGGCTGTGTCACAGGGAATGCTATTATCAGCTCTGGTTAACCAGAAACGTACCTGTTCCTGTCAGATGGGTATTTAGGGAAGGAGAATGGACGTGGCAGTTTATTTGCTGGAACACTAAGGGCTATGTGGAAGTATGTTCTTATCTTACACAGAATTATGCTAAAATAAATACAATATGCGTGATACCTTGTTTCGAGTAATGCCTGGAACCAAACTAGATACAAAATTTAAATGTTGTTGCCTGACATTCTGTGTACACTTAGAAACATGTTGCACGTTTTGTGGCACACTGCTCAACAAAAAGTGTGAGTATAAAAATGTATGTCTTTTGCAAGAATACAGCACAAGTGATAATTGCAGTTACTTAAGAAAAAAAAAAGGTAAAATTAAGAAAACTTGTAAAAGGGAGCTCCTTTGAAATCCTGCCAGCAGTTTCTTAGCAGTAAGTCTCAGACTGCATTCCTCTATGGATAATGGAGAGGCTATGCCTTCAGCTTTCCCTTAAAAAGACAAAGTCTCTCATCCAGATGTTTACAAACTATTCAGAAGCCTTAATAGCTGAAAGGGGTATTTTTAAACTTTAGGATCCATAATATGCATAAGCCATCCTCAGATTTTTGGGTATTTTTTAAAAAAAGGGGAAAGGAAGAATGAGCCTAAATACCAGGTGAGGCCTTTGACATTTTGTTTGTTTAACTTAAATTCTGGAAAAAAATATAACTGCATGTTATGGAAACTGCATGTGATGCACAGTTTTGCATTTTAGACATGGAATTCCGTCATTTGGTTTACACTCTGTTTAGGCTCTGGAAAAGTTGGCTGGAAGTTGCTCAGCAGGAACAGGGGTGGTTGTGCCCAAGACCTGCATAACTTCTGGATGAGGCCCAGGCTGTGCCTGGCACCTCTATCCCGAGCCGGGTGGAAAGGGAAGAGGGCACATGCCCCACTGATGGAAAGTGGGTGCTGGCAGCGCATGGAGATTTTCTTTAATGTATTGCTTTGGGGTTGCTTGCTTTTCTTCTTGTCTGAGTTCTCTTCTACATAAAATCATGTGCTAGTCAGGACAATGGTGTGCCTACTTATGACTTTAGGTCTAACTAGACTTAGAGAAACAAGTGTAAAGCTTAAAAGGTACTTAACTCTACTGCTGTTTCTATCCTTAAGCACTTGGAAATAGAATATGCAGTGATAAAAGGAAAGGACGTGAAATATATTGAGCTGAACCTAAACTTATTTTTCAGACTTCATTTATGTGCCATTAACCTTTACTTTATAATCACCATAAAACAGCAGATTGTCTGCTTATGTACTTTCTCTTCATTGCTTAACTATCTGAGAACAGACCACTGCAGAGAGCCTGCACTACTGCTATTTCACATATGGTATATCTGGGAATATATTTAATATCACAGTATTTCCAGTCATTCATAGACTGTATTTCTCACTATTAAAATGCAGCCATAAAATAATTTTAATACTACTATTAAAATAACTGACTGTAAATGCCACATATAATCTAGCTCTTTTGCTGGCTTTATTTAATTTTAAACATTCACAACATGTTTTTGATTCATTAGGAAAATTCTTGGACTTTTTGTTTTGCAGCTACTGGAAGCAAACCCCAAGAATCTGCATATCAGTTAAGTCTTTGAGTTAAATAGGGTGACACTAGCATGGGGGAGGGTACTAGAAGGAAGCACACAGAGGGGAAAAAAAAGACTTTTAAGCCTCAAAACCAGAAAAATTAAGAGTAGCACAAATATTCCCAGAAGTTGTTTTTTATTATGGAATTAGGTTTTTCTGCCTAGGCAAATATTTTATTATGCTGTTTATAATCAAACTTCCATAATAATGTGCTGGAGTACAGAAGTTTGAAAACAAAAAAAAAAAATCAAAATGACTGGTCTGTTTTTATCATCCAAAATGACTAAAAACAGACCGCTCCATGCAGGATCTTGGGACACTTCTGCAATAAAAGTAGAAGTTAAAAGTACAAAAGACAAAGAGGTTTATTGGCTTTTTCAGCCTGTGTTGCTTAGGTGATGTTAGAACATCATTTCCTATACCACAGTGACAGGTAAGTCAGTAAATTAAATATTAAACCTGATAGATTTCAAAACAGACTTGATCAATGAGCATCTCTTTGAAGACTTTTAGACAAGTAGAACTGCTTTTCTCATCAGGCTGCAGTCATCTTGTGCACCTAAGCTACGTATGTCAGTTTTAAAACTACCAGAGCACATTAGCTCTTAAAATTGTGCAATGAGTCAGAAATGTCCAATTGTGCAAAGTCTTCTGGTTTCTGGAATAGACCTTCTGATCATCCCACGCCTGGTGCTCGGCTGAAACAACTGAAGGCAACGTTAATGGAGAGTAACCATTGCACAGCATGTCCCCAGGGCACACGTGACTTCAGCTTCCCTCGTGTTGGCTCACAGACAGCACAGGTAACCCCACACAGGGAGAGGGCAGCAGCCACAGGAGTCTATTTGAGGACAGAAGCAGCAGTTTTGATGAGCAGTGGTTTAGCTGCCTCTAGGATGTCCAGTTCAGGGTCCAGTGAACGACCTAGTCCCTCCAGAACCATGATGGCAAAGATGATGGAAGCAAAATTGCTCTCGAGCTTCACCTAGAACCACAAGAGACTAAATGGGCTCAGTGGACCTTATTTTCTTCTGTACCCATTCAGCCAAGGTCCCAGCTCTGGCTAAGCTGAGAGGGAAGAGGCTGCTGAGAGCACATGCACACCTGAAACTAATGCAACTCCACCAGCTGGAGTTTCAGAATTCACTGAAATCCAGCAGCAGGCCCAAACATAAGGGGACAGTTTTAGGGTGAGTGCACTAAGGGAATCCAAGAGTTTGTTTTTCGTACAAAAAGGGGAATAGATTTTTTTTTTCTTCTATACAAGAATAGCAGGATCTTAGAAGTGCTCACCGTGGCTGCAGTAGTATCCAACATACTTGAACATATGCACTTGTGTAAGAGGCAGCTCACCTGAATGGCCATAAAAGACCCCACAGGTCAGAGGAAATGATTCTCTCCTCTGTATGTGAAGAAAATACTCCCCATTTCCCAGCCAGGTACCAGGATTGTTTCAAGGCATACCAGGGCACTAAGAATTCATGAAGTTGGGAGGACTTGCTTTGTAAGGGCCTAAATTACATTTCATTTCACTAGAAACCTACTTAATGAGGCTTAATGACAAAAAACTCTAAGAAAGGAATGTTTAGAGGGACCCTTTGCACAGTGAGCAAAGTGGCTGACAACCTTTTCATCTCCTCTAGTTCAGGCCACTACAGCTCTGTTGATTTCCAAAGTTGTTTGCAGCTGTGAAAACTTGTTCCCCAAATAATCAGTTACAAGTAGTTATCTGTTATCTCTGTCCTGTGAGAAACTTCTCACCATTGGGCCCTCTAACAAACCAGTAAAATGGCTTGGTGCTGTTATATAACCCCATATCGAGAAAGAGGTCCAGAGAAGAAAGCATGCAATGCTATAGAAGTGGAATATGTATGAGATTTCATTTTCTGCTTCTAAGAGACTACAAAAAGAGATAGGAAAAACTATGTGTTACAAAAGTATTCCTCTTGGTAAACAACATCAGCCATTAAATGCAGTATTTAGACCAAGAAAACCCAACAAAAAAGACATACCTGGAAACATGCTGAGAAACAGCAAGCCTGCAACACTTGGTTACATTCCTGCAGTTCCTCTCCTAGCAGTTCATTTTGGAAGTCAGTCCCCCTCCATGTTAGCCCTTCATGTTCCTGGTAGTTCTCCCTCCCCAAATAAACTTCCAGTTACTGAAGGCAGACAGTGACAGGACCTCACCTTATGGGTCATCAATAGTTTGAAGACATTTGAGAGGAGATTTCCCACCTGCAGCTGGAATACAAAAAGAAGCAAACAACTGATCAAAAAAGCCCTTTTGTTTCAGTTTTCAGTGCCAAGCTGCACTGAATTGCAGGTAAGCGAGAATGAGACATGGTGCACTTGCCTTCCCCAGGGCAATGGTGTTCCCCCGGACTTTGGTCACTAGTTCTGCCATCTCAGCCTTGAACCGCTCGATGTCCTGGCACTGGTTGGCGCGGGCGTGGTGGAGGATCAGCTCTGCCACTCTCTCCCCCTGAGGAACAAGTTGGAGAGGAGAATCAGGACTTGATCGCTGGTGACTTGCAACTAACTGTTTGCAGTTCTTGTTTAGTAGCTGAGAACTACATCTGGCAGCACAGGATGAGCCTGAACACATGGTTTAGCATGGATTCCTTGGCTTGCTTCGGCAGATTAAACAGACCAAGACAAAATGTGTCCCTCTTGAGATATGCTGGTGAGCCATTCAACCTGCAGCTGTGAAACAGCAACAGGCAAGTATGAGCACAGATGCTTGTTCTCAGAATGAATAGGAGACATTAGCACTAGATTCTCTAGCACATCTGAAAATGTATTTCAAGTGAGAAGGAAGATAAAGTAGTTCTCCTTATACACAGGAGCCTGCCCTCTGAGTCAGACCCTCTACCTGTTTTACATGCTCTTCACTACAGATGCTGACACACTACAGCAAAATGGAAGAAGGCATGTGGGCTTTCCAGCAGCAAGGCTGCAGAAGGGAACGCGTGGAAGATCAAGACATTAATCCGTTCCCTCCTCTTCTCTAGCAAAAGCTGACAAGATTCTGCAACAGTCTCCAATGCAAGTGGCTCCCAGGCAGTCCTAACTTGCAGCAGAAACACTCCTAACCAGGGAGTGGCAGCCATACTTCCCACTTAGCACCTTCTGTTTCCTGGGCCACTGAAATTGTTCCACTCTGGCAGTGTCCTTGCTGTAGCGGAACGTCTTAGCCCTGTGTTTGGTATAGCTTCCATGCTAGCAAGTCTCCTTGCCCCTCTTAGGGAGTATTTTAATGGAAAACAGAGAGAAAACCCTCACTTGGGTTGTCAGACTCTCCAGCCTTCTCCCTTCCCCCGCCCCACGACAGAGGCCTCACCTGTCCTTGGACCACAGCGGTGAAAACTGCCCGGAAGTTCTGCATGTCAGCGCTCTGCAGCTCCGCCACGATCCCTGCATCCAGCAGCACCAGGCAGAGCTGCCGGAGCGGCGGCTGCACTTCCACCACGAGCGTGTCACACAGGTCCACGAGGGCCGTCTGCTCCTTGCAGCTGGTGCTCACCCGGGCCGTGCCTTGAACCAGGATGTTCCCGGGGTGCAGGTCAGCATGGACAAAGTTGTCAACAAAGATCTAGAGGACAGGTGAGTCTTTTAGAGAAGCTCATTCCAACCAAACCTGCCCTCACCAAAACTCCCAGGCAAACAGCAGAGGGCTGTTCCTGGTCTGTTTGCCGTCATCCCTAATGACGGTGCATTACCCTTGGCAGCACCACAGCACACGGCTTCTGCTGGAGACCAGCTGTGCTGACATGGCAGGGAGTCAGCAGAGCTGTGTGGAGCAATCCAGTGTGTTTGCTAGAGGTCAGGTAGGACAGCCAGGAGTCCCAGCTGGGAATGGAGGTGCTCTTTGGTAATTAACTCTAAACTGAGAGCACGCCAGTGGGCCTTAGCAAAGAGAAATGCAGTAAGAATAGGCCAGTTGCCATTCAGTGCCAAGAGTTATAGTAAATGGTTAAGTTTGTCTAGTCCAGGACATCAATCCACCTTACAACTGTATTGGAAAGTAAAGAAAACAAGTTAAGAGGAAACAAATCTACGTAGCCCTTCTCTGACTCTGCTAGCAGTTAGCACCAGAAAGGACTGGCAAGAGGGCAAGTAGAAAACAGCACTTCCCCACTAAATCTCCTGGCCACTTGGGACTGCAGGACTTCCTGCCCCAAGGTCATCTTTGTATTTCTTGGATTTCTCCTATGAATTTGTCCAACTACCATATAAATAATTAGAATTGTGTGAAAATATAATTTTTTTTAGGTGTTGCCTGAAAAAAATACCTCTGCTAATATTCACTCTTGTGCACTCATGACTGCATTTATCTCTGTCATAAGCTACTAATTTCTCTGCTTTCCAGAGTTAAGAGTCCAAATTATTTGACCATTACAGTGTTAAAGCCACTCCACACTAGTAATCATCCTGTCTGCCTTCCTCTGCACCTCTTCTAGTTCTATTACAGCCCTTGAACTGGAGGGTCTTGGACAGCAAGGGACTAGAACTGCACAGAGTACTCAAGAAACAGGTATTTGTTTTACTTAAAGACATAATGTTGTTTCTTTGCTCTTTAATTCTTTTCTACTCCCAAAATTTGAAACCAACGTTAGCGTAAAACTATTCTAGTTCCACCATTGCTTTTCTGAGTAGTAAAAGCTATTTCAGAGCCTGTCATACTCCATGGAGTCAGAACTGGAGGCTTGCCATCACCCTAGCACAATGCTGCAGTTATCAGCTGCATTTCATCTGACACATGGAGCCCACTCACTCACTCAGTACTGTCAGGATCTTTTGCAACTCTTCCCTGCTAGTTCTCATGGTTCCTCACAAGACAGTTGTATCACCCTCTCAACACTCCTTTCCAGATCATCTGTGATTATTTCAGCCACGGAAGAACTAGACAGCCAGAAGCTGCATCTGGCCAGGTTTGTTTTCTTTACTGTGTATTTAATTCTTCCTTACAGAAAGGCAGTTTTAGAGAAGGAGCCGATAAAGAAATCAGCTATTGCTGTTTTCCCTGAGTTGCATCCACAGTCTCTGCAGAGCACATGGTATTTGCTAATTATGTTGCACTACATAGTAGTTGGGCAATACGTGAATATTGATTAAATGGATTAGTGTGTTTCCTAAGCAGTGCACTGACCGAGGTGCACAGGCCAGTCCTGCTGCGTGCGAGCAGATGGCCCGTCTGCAGTGGGGGAAGCTCCGAGTCGGACTCTACAGCAGTGGTCTATCTAGGCCAGGCTTTACTCAGGCCTTGTGTGACATTGTACTCTAAGTACAGACCCTCCCTCACCTCCTGCCACTTCAGGAGCTGTGCCACAGTGCCCCAAGTCCTGGGTTACCACAAGATACCTGGCATCCAGGGGCCGCCTCCAAAGGCACAACAGTGTCTTTGAGTCCATGTCCCTACGGACATGGGTGCAGGTAGGAGAAGGGGGGAGCAAATGGGTTCTCTCTTTAGCCATATTGTGTTATTATCCCAACTGAATAGCTTCTGCAGGAAAACAGCCTTCACTTCCAGCTTTAGCCAAGTGCCTACCATCTTTAGCAGCATGTCCATGCCCATCTTTGCAAGTCTCTGCCGCAGCTCTGTAGCGATCTCCGCGTGCAGGTACTGTGAAATAGGCTCACTCTCCTGAAATAAAGACAGGGCTGGAGTCAAACACACCCTGTGTCCCATCTTCAGCCACACCTTTATCTGGGTGCCAAGAGTTCAGGGGAGGTGGCAACAATGCCCTAGAAAGGACCTGTCAGATAGAGGCTGTATGTAGTGTGATAGAGAACATGAGAGAAGCAAGGGTTTGTTCTTTGCAAAGAAGGATAGTATTTTTGGGACAGAAATACTCTTGCCAGGATCAAATGCAGGAAAACTAAGGCTGAGAGTAGCCTTACATCCACAAGGGAACTAAGGCAAGCATCAGAAAGTTGTCAGATTGCTGAGCTCCTTGCTTTGACCCACCACAGAAGAGACTTGGAGTGTGGTTTGGTTTGCCAAGTACAGGCAAGCACATGGTGGTGGCTGGAGACACTGTTGGGCTGCTTGGTTTCAGGCCAAGTGTCTACTTCTAGATGGAGTTGTCTGCCACCTGTCTTCTGGGATGCATTGCTTACCAACAAAAATACTGGAAGAGACACCAAGGAAGGACACCAATTCTCCTTAAGCAAATAAGAGAAAAGCATCCTTCTGCCTCTGATCCCTTCTCAAAAAAAAACTTCCTTGGCATGTTCTCTCCAGGACCATCTCACTGCTACCACCACTCCGAGAGCCTGAAATTCTTACCTCAAACGTTTCCACTAGAACATCTGCTGTTACCAAAGGCCAAAGGGGAGTTGGAAACTTCACAAAATCGACATCTAGGAAATTTTGTCGGAAGCGCTCCAGATTTCTGGCTTCGTAGCGTAAGTCAATCTCAAGGGAGAAACAGAAAGAGCAGGTGGGAAAATAGATTCAACTAGAGTTAGATCTTCAGGATCCTGTATGAGGAAAGGACTGTACAGGACTCAATACCAACAAAACTAGTCAGAAAGCCAGAATGAAAACAAAATCAGAGGTACTTTTTACATGCTTATAGCTTCCCTGATGGAAGAGTGGAGTAACAGACTGGGTAATGGATGGTCCACAACCCAGCACCTTTGAAATCTGGGTGCCTTACTACAGGCACGGTGTCTCAAAATAGACCACAACTGCGTTATGTTCGAGGACACGACAAGATCCTGAACCAAAGCTTACTGTCCAAATTGCAAGGCAAGCAGACAGGGTAGATGAACTGCAGCCCCAGCCTCACTTAACAGAGAGGCAGCCATAGCAGGAAGAAATTTAATGTAAAACATACAAAATAATCCACTATGCAAAGTCCAGGCCCTGGCTCTTCAGTGATGCAGTGTCTTGACACAAGGGCCTCTTTCTGTCTGCTACTGCTCAAGGAGGCAGGATAACCTTCCTTCACCTCCCTCATCTGACAATGGGAAATATCCCAGGAATACTTCTTGTTTTTTCAAAGATAATTAAAACTACAGTGAGCCTATCAGATGTTCTCTTAACCCTCAGTCTTCAGCACATCCACCAAAAGCTCTGCCAGACTAAACTGGAACTAAATGACCTCGAGTCACATTTGACTACAGTCAACAGTTTACAACGTGGATTTACTGTGTAGAGTTTTTGCAATAGTAGAAAATAATTAAGGCTTTCAAAAGCTTGTTACAGACTTCAGACTCTGCAATCTAGACACAGAAATGAAATTAGCAGATAATGGTTCATTTTAATAGCAACATAAGCCCAATTAAGCCCGTGGCAAAATCTTTGTAAGTGTGATACTAGCAACATTTCAGGACTGTGTCTTTAGAAAACAGAGAAGAATGAGAATGTTTTCAGAATTATTTTCAAAGTCTAAAAAGTATTTTTAAATAAAAGATTTTTAAATTTTGTCATTGCTTTGCTTTTTTGCTTTGTGAGCATATAAGCTTTTCTACAATAACATTATGTGATTGATTAGAATACAGAACATAAGTAAAGAACAAGCCAGCCTTCATCTAACCCTTTAAAATGCAGCAGTGTGAACAGTTAAAGCCAGCCAGTAGCAAGACAAAGGGCAGTTTTGTTTCAGTAAGTGGGGACCATGGCATGGCATGTACCTGCTGCATCATAAGCTTCTCGAACTCCTCCACGATCTCTGTCAAACTGAGCCACTTGAATCCAGGGATAAGTCCAATGAGGCGGCTGCCCATCTTCATGAGAAACAGATCCATCTGGACTTGGTGGACCAGCCCAGGGTGCAGGACCTGCACAAGAATGAGCAGTGGCAAGATCAACTCTCCAAACACTCCATTACAATCAGCTCAAGTGATAGATCCCAAATAGACAGAACCCAGCCTATTAGACTGGAAGCCAACCAGCTTCTTCAGCTAGCCCCCAGAAGAATTCACATTTTGACATGGATTAAGTTGTAACAAAACATTTTATAATTGTCAAATGGAATATATCTGTGCTGGAGACTACAGTCTCACCCAAAGATATTTTCCACCACTTTCAGGCTCCAGCCCTGTCCCTGACTAGTATCAGAAGCTGCTCAAATATAAGGTTTCTTTAAAAAAACTTTGCTGGAAAGAACTTGTCTGTTCCAGATTTCTTCATGTGAGCAGAGAAGGGGTTTCACTGTCTGGAAGGTGTACTGAATATTAATTTTTTTTTATGTAAACTGGGCCCTTTTAGGCATTCCCAATACCCACGTGCCATGTCAAACAGTGCCATAGGCAGCATAGGTATTTGGGCTCTCCAGCCGGGAAGAGCTGGGGCCACCACAACTGTGGATTGCGCTGGGCTGGAACAAAAGCACTGAGAAAGGACACCAAGGAAGACAGCATCCCTTCTCTCACTCTGCCTGGCCCTAGGCAGCCACTCATCCCCATGGGAATTAAAATCTGATTGACCCCATCCAGCACAGTCTGTTTTCATACATCTACTGTTCAGGTGTACAACTTACTTTAATGGCTACAGGCGTGAGATGTCTGGCTGATGAAGGATTTGCATTCAGGAGTGGTTTGGCCATCTGCTCCATAAGGGACATCCTACTCATGGCACTTCCCTGGGAGCAGTCTGCTAGGCTCAGTTCCTCCCTGCTCCTCTCATCCCATGTCTCCTTGCTCTTCCTCCTTCTCAGCCACTTGAAGAGACCTCTAAAGCCTGACACTTCCCACGCTTCAAAAGCAGACCTGAACTCCGAGTGTTGCTGCAGCTCCTGGGCCCAGGAGCCGGCAACAGCAGCGAGGTCAGCATAGGCTTTATAGACCTGGGCGACACAGCCCGAGCCGACCGGCTCCCGGCTTGGGAACTTGAGGATGCCCGTCCAGTCCTCACCGAAGGCCTTCCTTAGGAGCATATCGGTGTGGCCCCAGGGGTGCGGGCTCACCTCGACGTGCAGCTTGGAAAACTCATCGCAGAAGGCCTCCGAGAAGAGGTCCCTGCGAGTGCTGGCCCATTGGCCCAGCTTGATACAGGTGGGGCCGGCGGCCTCGGCCGCCCTGCGCAGCAGCCGCAGCCACCGAGCGCCCATGCCGGGCCACAGCCGGCTCAGCGGGTACAGCAGCAGCAGCGGCCCGAAGCGCAGCACCAGCCCGCAGGCGCGCACCCCGAGCCGTAGCACCAGCCCCAAGCGCCGCAGCAGCCCCCGGGGCGGCCGCTCCGCGTCGCGCTCCCCCGCCCACGCCGGCGCCCGCTGCCCCGGCCTCTCCTTCCAGGCGGGCACGGCGGGCACGGCCACGGGCACGGCCAAGGCCACGGCGCCCCAGCGCCCGGCGCGCAGCCCGGGGCGCCCCGCGGCCGCCCGGCCGGGCAGCGCCGCCCTGATCCTGGCCCCGGCGGCGCGCGGGAGGAGCGGGAGCGGGATCAGGAGCGGGATCGGGAGCGGCAGCAGCCGCGCGGCGCCGCCCGCCACCATCGCGCGCTCAGCCGCCACCACCGCGCGCGTTCCCGCCACTACCGCGCGCGCTCCCGCGGCCCGCACCGGCTGCCGGGGGCGGGGGGAGCGCGCAGGCGACCAATCAGCGCGCGGCACAGCGGCCGCGCCCAGCCCCTTAAAGGGACAGGAGCGAGTCCCCGGCGGGGCTCTCGCGCGGTGACTGATGCTCGTTCCTGGGCTGTCGCCTCCGCTGCTGGAGCGCGCACTCGGGATCAGCATATAACGTAGCGGGATGGGAGGGAAAGGGGCCGCGCTTGGGCTGGGGGCCCTCACAGCTCCATCCCTTTTGAATCGTAGAGCCAGAGAATATCCTGAGCTGGAAAGGGCAGACAGGGATCAGCAAGTTCAAGCCCTGGCCCCCCTGCACAGGACAGCCCCAAGAGTCACACCGTGTGTCCAAACGCTTCTTGAGCTCTGTCAGGCTCGGTGCTGTGGCCACCTCCCTGGGGAGCCTGTTCCAGTGCCTGACCGCTCTCTGGGTGAAGAACCTTTCCCTAATATCCAACCTCAGATCAGCTGATAGTGTTGCAGGCTCAGGGCATCCCTGGTCAGCCGCTCTCCCGCGATGAGTCTGTGACCCGATCAGCCGCGAGAAGCCGTGGCAGTGACAGGTGCTGAGTTGGTAGCGAGTAAGGACTTTCTACGTTCCCTCGGGTACTTTTGTTTGCAACCAGAAAGGCGGCTGGAGCGCCTCCTCTCGGGATTTCATTTCTGGCCTCGACACCCGAGCAGCCCCCTTCACCCCCGGGCATCCCCCCTTCACCCTCGGGCATCCCCCCTTGCCCCTGGGCGCTCCCCGTTACCCCCGGGCATCCCCCTTCCCGAGTGAGCAGCACGGGACGCGCCCCTGCCCGGGGCGGGGGGCGGGCGCGGTTGCCCTGGCGGCGGTGCGGGGCGGGACGGGGTGGGATGGGGCGGTGCTCCCGCCGGAGGGCGGCCAGGGCCGGGGCCGGGGCCGGGGCCGGTGGCGGCGGGGGGCGGGCGGGCAGCCCCCAGCCGCGGGTCCGCACGCCGCCAGCCTGGCGCCGGGACCGCCGCCGTCATGCCGGGGCACGGCCCCCCCGCTCCGCCGAGGAAGGTAAGGGGGACACGGAGGAACCGGCGGGCGGGACGGGGGGAGAGCAGAAGTGCCGGGGCGGCGGGGGTCGGTGCGGCTCCAGAAAAGCCTCTTAATTCTGTCTTCCCTCCCGCCCCTCGATTGGCTTTTGTTCCCCCCCCGTACCGCGTTCGACGGCAGAGAGGGAAAGCGGGGTCCGTGAGCCGAACGCCCCCGCGCTCCCGGCACAGCCGCGTTCCCGCCGGGACGGGGAGGCTGCCGCTCTCTCCGAGCCCGCCGGGTGCGGGAGTGTCGGGCTGGCTGCGGGAGCGGGTCTCGGCCGGTGGGAAAAGGGCCGAGAGGACGTGAGGAGCTGCTGGAAAGTGTCCTCGGGCGGGTCAGGGGCGGTGGGGCGGAGGAGCAGCGGCAGCCCCGCAGCACAGGGCCCCTGAGCGAACTCAGCCCTCGAACTCTCAGTCTCCGGCACAGAACAGACGAGGAAACGCAAAGCACATTCTTTGGGGGAAGCCCGGGCCCTACTGGAGGAAACAGCCAGAGTTCTCTTCGGTTTTGGCAAACCCCTGAATCCCTCTCTGATGGTAGCCCTCCATTTCGCTCTCTGCACTGGATAGCTTGCTTTTTCTCTTACTTTACCTTCGGCTGGAGGAAATATCTGCCCTTGAGTGCAGTGTGTAGCTTATCAGGGTGACGTTTCTGACTCCCCCTGGGGACCCGTGAGAATATTCACCTGTCCCGGGGAGAAAAATTCCAGTTTGCTTTCCCGCTGTGATACCCAGGGATGATGGGTGCTGATGGGTGCTAATGGGTTAGGCGTGGAGTTCTTGGAGGGGGAATGGTGTTTGGGAAGAGAACAGGGAAGAAGCTACAGCTGGCTGCTGCTGTGGTCCTAGGGTGTCAAATGCACACTGGAAGGTAAACCATGCCAGGTGTATTTGGGATGGTTTCAGAGGTTTTGACTTTACAACTGTCCGAGAAGCATCAAGGCTCTTGATGCTTGGTGCTGGACAAGGGATGGTCATGGAGGGATTGTGGCTTTCTGACTGCTTGGAGCCTTGCGAGAGGTAGTAAGTGCTAAGCATGGGCACTTAGCTCTTTGCAGGAGCATAGTTTGTTTCCTAAACAGGTCAGCAAATTGTATGGGAGTTGTTCCTGACCCTAAGGTGTTCCCAGCCACCTTTGCTCTTGCCATTTAAACGGAGTTGTTGTTTTTGGAAAGGAACATCTCCAGCTTGGAGCTCAGCTGAAAGGATAAAGAAGTGGCCAAAGGGATTTTCATGGGGTTTTCATTTGCTACCAGGAAGGGAGCTGCTGGTGTTGGTGGTGGATTAAAAAGTTGGTTTGTGTGTTGGCTGCCACCTTACTGACCACTCATTCTTGGTGTGTGGTAGTGAAGTCCAATAAAGTACTGGCTCCGTTTTCTGAACCACCAAAAAGGGAGTTATTGCATCCTGCCAGAGGGAAGCCCCTTGTGTTGTGTTCTGAAATGTTGTCACTGGGGTAGTGTTTGTGGGGTTTGGTGGTTGTTGGGGTTGGGAGGCAGGGGGTTGTTTGGTTGTTGTTTGGAGTTTTTTTAAATAATCCAGATGGTATTTCAGCATGTGAAAATCGATAGCTACCATGTTGGGTCAGACTTGTAAACAACTGAAAACACTAAGTGTGTTCATGTTCACCATTAAGTTCATGCTAAGTATGGAAAAGAGAGGAAAGCCATGGGATTTCCCAGGGTAATACGGCGCCCGTTTGAGAAATGGAAGAGAAAGCACTGAAAACAAAGGGCACTGGAGTGACCAGAGATGTAAAAAGCAGGCTAAAGATTTATGGCTCTGCTGGGACCACTCTCTGCCTGTGGGTGATCTGTACTGAAGCCTGGGTTGGCCTTTGGCGTGTCCATGTCCTGACAGTCTATGCAAGAAGTTACTCCCTGTTCAGAAGCTCAGACCCAAAGTACAGTGTTCCTTGTAGACCACAAGTGTGTGTGGAGTGTTCCAAAGTGCTGCTTTTAGTAGTGTCCCCAGCTCACTGCCTTCGGACATCTTTTAAGACATTTTGTCTGCTGAGACAACCTCTGTCTGCTTTCTGTTCTCCAAAACAAGAAGGGCATTTAGATCTTTGTCAAGCACTTAAAATAGGCTTGTCTTTCTCCCATGCCTGGTGTATTTGCATGTTAAAGATGTTAATTTTGACCAGGAGACAATAAATAAAGACCGTGTAAGCTCTATTTTTCAGATGTGATCTTAGTTCAGGAGGAGCTTTTCCACTGAATTATTTGTAATATCAGCCATAATAACTAATTCCTATGGACAGGCATTAAAATCTGTGTTTTGCTGGGTGCTCTGGGGGCAGAGAGGCAAGTGCAGTCCTTGCCTGGAGTTTAAGAAATTTGGCAATGAAATTTTCATGCAACAGAGCCCTACATGGAGAGGTGCTGTGTGTTTCAGAAGTGCCCGATAAGTGTCATGCTCTTTTGGATCCCCCAAATGCATCATTCAAAGCAGCTGGTTCTCCCTTCCTTTTGTAGCACCTGACATTTGTTTCCTGACTGGAACTGTGCTGAGGCTGCTCCCCGCTAAGTGGAGGCCAGACCAAGGGGGGAGAAAAGGCTCTGTAGTGCACCATTAAGTACATGAGAGTGGAGAAGGACCTCTCTTAAGCTCTTGTTGAGGCTGGTTAATTGTGATGATCAGCGCTCTTAGGCATCCAGAACTGGGGTATAAGCTCTTTAGGGAAGCATTTTTTAGCGGAAGGATTTAAGTACTAGTGGCTGATATGTCTCTTGGCAGGATCCCAAGAGCTGGCTGGAAGAGGCCTCTACTATGAAGGAAATGCTGAAATAGGACTTTTAATGCACTTGCATAGCAGTTCCTTAAGGATCAAGGAGACTCTCCACAGGGAAGAAGGGAGTGGGATGTAGCTGGAAAGAAATTTCTTGTTGCAATTCAAGTCCTGATGAGAAATGAGCAAGCACAGTTTTGCCTGTATACAGCTCAAAGAACATCACATCTGAGGAGTACTATCTGTAAACAGCATTTAACCCACAATGTTTTCTTCATTGTAGCTCTGAAGTACAGTGGAAAGGACAGTAGCACGTTTTTCTTGCTTATGGGGGTTTTTTTCTGGTTTTCACATCTAAGCAGCTTTCTCAGCTTCTGGAAATGAAAGCAAAGGCTGAAAACATGAGGATATGCATGGCATTTGGTGGTGATTTCAACCCAGGTTTCAGTGAAGATGACCATATGACTGAATACCAGGCTCCTGGCTTTGTGAAGGCTGTGCTTTTGAAAGGTTCCACAGGGATCTTGAGTGATCTTGAAGTTGGGTGCCTGAGACAAGCTAGAGTCTCTGGAGCCTCTGACCCTCTACCAGCCTGGATTTTCAACTGAGGCCTGTGTCCTTTGGTGGAAGCCTGGCACAGAACAGGCTGAGAATCAGGTCAAAGCCTCTGTTAATAAAGCACTAAAGGGCATCATCGCTGTCATTCATAAATACTTAAGGTCCTATAGGCTGGTCTTATTCAAGACCTCCCCCAGCCTTTATGTCATTCACCAACCTAGTGGGTCAAGGTACTCCGTGTCTGTGGACTTAGGACTGATGACGTGAAAGTCGTAATTCCCCAGAATCTTCCTGATCAAAGCAGCGGATCCTTGCCTGCCACTCATGTGAGCCTTCACCAGTTCATGTCTTTCAGTGAGGCAGGAGTTCACTGAACTCAGGCCATAGAGCCTGCAGCACAATGCCTTTGGGGCTCTGCAATTATGATGGTCCGGTCCCTCCTGTGCCGAGGTGGCTCTGAGCAGTTCTGAACCATATCGTCATCCTTGCAGTTGCTAACAGAGGTTATGCTCTTGGAATGATCCTGGTGGGATGGCCAGGGTAATCCTGTACTGAAACCCCCTGGGTTTATACTACTCTAAGCTAAATAAAT